TCAAAAAAGAGGACAGACGGACACCCGCAGTGGGTGGTAAATACAAAATGCGTTCACAACCATGCAACTATGTTATTGAACTTTAATACACAAAGTAATACATCCTTTCCATTCAACTGTTGGCCCTCAACAATAGAATAATAACAAACAAATTTTAAAAAATAGTTTAGCTTTTAACACCTTTTACATGACACTGTTTCTTTTCATGGCCATAGGTTAAAATAAAAAATAAAAAAAACTGTTGTCATAAAAAAATCCACTATTTCAGTCAAAAATAATGTCAGTCCTGATGCTCTCTGGTATACTTTCCCGAAGATCGAATCTTTCCCAACAGTCCTTGACTACCAATCAAGTAGGCATGAAAGTCTTTGCAAGACATGTTTTTAAAGTTGTATTGTGTACACAGAAGCCCCTTCAATGACTCAACAGACAAGCGATTCCTTTCCTTTGTCCACTGGCTTTGCATCAGTGAAAAAACTCTCTCTATATTTGCATTGTGAGAAGGAATAGCAAAGAAAAACTGTGCAATCTTCAGTAGCTCTGAATGAAAATCTATGTTTTTGGACCTTTCAAAATATTTGGTCCATTTCTTGTGTGCTTGCAGATTACTGAACTCTCCATCACTGTTACACCTTTCTGTGAATTTATTCAGGTTGGTGACCTGATCAAAGCACTTTGCATCATCAGTTGGCACCCCCTTTTCTCCCAGTTGTTTGATACAGGCTTCTATGTCATTCCAGTCAGGTGTCTCACTCAGATCCATCCACATGAAAGAGGAGAACTCCTCCATGGGTGCCATCCATTTCTCCAGATACTCCAGGCATGAACTGTACAGACCCTGTACTTGAGCACTGAAATGGTCACAATTCTTACCAAGTCCATCCTTGTGCTTTTGTGCCAATAGTCCCTTAACTTTAAGGGACATGAAGTTATTGGTCTTGCGTTCAAGAAGCATGGTGTGGACTTTGTTCAAAAGGTTCTTCACTTCCACAATTGAATTGCTCCCCCTTTCCATCTCCTGAATGTGTGAATGAAACACACACATGAGTGAGTGCATGTGCCAGAGGTAAATTTCACTGAACTCATCTTCAAAAAACGTATTGATCAAGGAGGGTGTTTTTTCCTGTGACAAAAATAATGCTTTCAAGGCTGGAAACATCTGTAGCAGCCTCTCAATACCTGGGAATAATGACAGCCAACGCGTCTTGCTGTGAGAAAGGAGACTTCTGTATTCAACATCAACAAATTCACAGTACTTCTTCAGATTCTCTGTGCGCACAGTGTAGATGTGAAAGTATTGACATATTTCGAAGATTATGTTCTCAATATCGACATCTAGTGTGTCTGCCCCGTAATGAACACAATTGTTCAAGACGTGTGCTGGGCAGCCCACACCTATTAAAGACTTGTTCTGCAATTACTTCTTTAAGTTTGCGAAAACATTATTTCCTTCTTCATCACGCCAGATTCTCCCGAACATTGTATTGCAGTTGTCACCTGTAAAAGCGATACATTTTGAAAAAATCCCATTCTTTTCCAGTGTTTCTTTTATGTATTGCGCGATCGTATCAGCTGTCTCATTTGGAGTGCTTTTAACTTCGACTAATTTAGTTTGCACGCCACCATTCTTCCAATCAAAATACTGAATAAGCAGGGAGAATATTTTCACAGCACCGTGATTGCTCCCATCAGTAGAAACACCACAGTTTTCAGAGCTATGTCGACAGGACAGAATGTGGTGCTATCACAGCGTTAACAATTGCTTCGGTCTTAGTACGAGCGCTTGAAAATTTTCGCGCAGTCTCGGAATCAGCGAAAGCGTTTTTAACAAGGCAGACGCATGGGCGGTGTGTTCAATAGGGCGATATGGGCGACGCACTGCCAAACGGGAAAAGGAAGGGATTTTTTTTCTAATCAATTATATCACGGCAACAGTAGTTCAGTGTTCACGTCTGATCTGCCAGCCACTAAATGTCCAATCAGGCTAAAGTCGTGCTTCAAATGTCCCCGCCCGTTTTGGGGCGATTTCAGTCAGGTTGAAAATCGCCCAGAAGTCTCTCATAGCCTCTAATGTAAAATATTTTTTTTTCAAATTTCTGAGCTTTCAATACAATCTCTATGGGTGTCTGAGGGCTTGCACTTACGCGCTTTCGTCATACGTAACGTAACGTAACCATGAACGTAACTAAGAAACTACTCTTTCACCCTGAAGGCGGCACGGCAGACAGCAACGCTTAGACAGCGACTGGTGTAACCGACATGCACCATCTTTCAGAAAAGATTAAGAAAAATGAGCTGTCAAAGACCCACATTGATAGCTGTTTGAGATTGTCTGCTTTGGGGAGAGTGAATATTGCCACTCAACTGGATGAGGGATACAGGCTAGCTGTCCGCCGCCACAACGATGAGGTTAGTAACAGCAGAGTCGTGAACACTGTCTACGAGAATCGAGACGACCTCATAGAATGTTTTGAAGCCATCCGGACGGGTTCATTGGGTTCATTTGACCAGCCCACCGTACCAGAAGCTACAGAAGAAGGACATCGATGCTGTCTTTATCAAACGTGCCCTAGACAGCTTCGCAAGCAGTGTGCAGGCCATAAGGTAAGATAAAGATTAAACAATATCATTCGATCTTTCTCAAAGCAGAGCTTTATTTGAAAATGTATGCATGAAAGGAGACTGCATTTGTGTTTGAAATTACATTATTCTCATTATATATGGCCAGTGGTGTAATCTATCTTATTTTATATACTATGTGTACTGTACAGTGGTGCTCATAAGTGTATGAACACATTCTAAAGCTGACTAAAAAGAGGAATAAAAAAATGAAAAAATCATCTTTTGGAAATTGATCTTAATGACTTAATTAAAACAGTTGGAAAATCCAACCTTTAAGGACACCAATTTTCTTTTCTTTTTTATTCCTCTTTTTAGTCAACTCTAGCATGGGATCATAAGCTTATGAGCACCACTGTATACTGTGCTGAACATCCAGGCTATGTGAGACACAAAGGCTAACTTAAACACTAAAGACTTTATGCATCCCTGCCCATTTTAAGTGGAACTGAAGTATTTGTACTATACATGGATACATTGCATATACCTGTGCATCACATAGACAACAATACTGTACAAAGCCAACAAACACATTGGTCTGTTTGCCTTCAGGGACTCCTCTCAACAGCAGCTGCAAGAAGCAACAGGAGCCAAAAGACCCAGAACAGCTTTGAGAGAAGAGGAGAAAAAATAAAAAATAAAAAAATATGCCATTTAGCAGACGCTTTTATCCAAAGCGACTTACAGTCATGCGTGCATACATTTTTTTTTTTTTTTTTTGTGTATGGAAGCAGAAGCAGAGGCTGTCTGAAGAGGTCTGCAACACCATCCTGGATCACACCAAAGAAAGGTTCTCTTTCTCTGGCCACCTTGTGAGTGCTACCTTACTGCAAGCAGACATGTTTGAAAGGTACTGCCATTCAAAAAAATAAAAAATCTGTTCATGTTCATTTTTACAAATCTATACAATTGGCCAGAATATGATTGTTCATATTTACAAATCTATACAATTGGCCAGAATATGGTTGTTCATTTTTACAAAGCCATACATATTGTTTATGCAGTGTTGAGGAATGTGAAAGAACACCCTTGATAATTTTTACTGTGATAACTTATTTTGCTTTTGTAAGCCAACACTTTTGAGATCAGTCAATAAATGCTTCTGGTATTGACTTATATGCTGCCCCTGTCTTCATGTTGTTGCTGGACATATCTTTTTAAAAATGTGTGTAGGTCACCTAAATCATCAGAAAAATTGCCCCCCCTGAGAATTTTTTCAGGAGCCGCCACTGGAGACGTGCAGTCCATTGAACTGTAGCTATTGTTATGCTTCGTGGTGTGGAATGCAAAAACTCCCTCCGCAACAGTAACAGCATCTTCTGTTTTACCTGCTCTCACAAAATAGTCAGTTAATTTACCTAACGAACTCTCTCCTTTAGCTGCAATTTTGTGTTTTGCGGAGCTTATGTGGGCTTCTAGTAGGTCGCTAGCACCTTTATTTGACACTGACACGTCGTGCCAGCTTTGCAGGTCATGCATTCTGCTTCACACGGATCCCGATCAAGACGAAAACACGGGAATTTTCTCTGTAAATCGTCTGTGAATTTACATTTGCGTTTGGCCATTTTTACGCTGTTCTGGAGCCATGTGCCACTGTTGACAAGCAAGCTGCTGCTCTGTTTCTTGGCTGTTGCCATGGTGAGGGTAATGATTGAGATGCAGTTTGACCAATGTTTGCGTAGGCCTACATGACCGACCAATGGTGGCGTGTGAGAAGGCGGGACCTAAAGAGAAAGGTCAAAGCAATGCAAAACCCCAAAAACGCACACAATGAATGGCGACTGTAGAAAGCAAAAGCCGAATCCCGGCCGGACACATTTTTTTTAGGTCCAAAAAGAGGACATGTCCGGGAAAAAGAGGACGTATGGTCACCCTACCCGGTACACCGGGGTTAACACCCTTACTCTTACGATAAGTGCCAAGGGAACTTTAGTGATCAAGTCATTGAGGACTTGATGATTAGTCGACAAGTTGAATCAGGTGTGCTTGCCCGGGCTACAGTAAAAATGTGTACTGCTAAGGTTTATGGAAGACTGGAGTTGGGAAACCCTGCCTCAGTGGAGATAACTCATCCAACAGCCACAGTGTTTCTAATGCTGTACTGTCTTTGACTCAGCTGCTGCAACAACAGGAACCTCTTCCGGGTCAAGGTTTTCACGAACTACCAAAATAAGAGTCCATATTGAAAACATGATGCAAAATTGGATGAAATAGTAAAAAGTTAATTATATCTTTCATTACTAATTCCTATTTCAGCTAAAGGTACATCAATGAACAATTCAATATACATCGCTTTTTACTCCGTTTAATCTTTTGAATAATTACTTTTATAATTAAATGATTCACATTTTGAACCGGAAATGATCGTATAACCCAGAAAGGTTTACGAAATGCTTGGCTCCTAAATATAGTTTTCAATCTGCAATTTACAAATACATAGCTAGCTAGCTAACATCATTGGCTTGGCTAACAAGCTGGTTAGACAAAGTTAGTGGTACTAACAACATATGAACAATGTCACGCTTTAAAAGAGGAGCCAAAGTAGATTCTAGAGCAGGATTTAGAACAGAAAAAGAGGAACCGGCTGCTGCTGTCCCTTACGGATTGTTGAAAACCGCCAGAAAAAGCGGGCAACTCAATTTGTCTGGACGAGGGCTGACTGAAGGTAACTGTCTGGGAAGAAAGATTGCCGAGTTTTCATGATGATACATCATGAGAAGGGTATGGTATTGATTGGTTGGTTGATTGATTGATGACCACTTGAATGAATGAATGAATGCACGTATGCTAATGCTAACGATTTTACCACTATTCTGCACTTGTAGTCCCACAAAGTGTGTGGAGGCTGAACTTAGACACACCTGAGGAGGCCAAACAGAACCTGTCCTTTGGGGCAGATGATCGCTGGTGGGACCAGACAGATCTGACCAAGCTGCTTCTCTCTTCGAACAAGCTAAAAGCTCTGTCAGAGGATGTCAAGCTGTTGCCAGGCCTTACTGTTTTGGATGTGGGTATTCTTTTTTTCTGACGTGTTTTGTGTTGCCTGATTTAAAAAGTGATAGACTAGACCCTTTGAAAGCTTGAATGGAAGGTCTATGCTCCCAAGATTTATGGGAGAAACATACTTTGATAAGTTTGATGTTTACGATGACCCTCTGACATTCTATCCTGTCTTTCCACTTTCCCAAGGTCCATGATAATCAGCTTACCTCTTTACCCACATCTATTGGAGTGTTGGAACATCTTCAGAAACTCAGTCTGAGGTATGGGAGGATTTTGCACATCCTTTAATGTCAATTAAAGTTACTCAACAAATGAGAAATGCACACAAGGAAAAAGTTCCATTATAAAGAAAGAGTAGGTATTTTTCCTCTATAGGCCTACATTTTGCTGAAATGATGTTCATTATCGTTCTCTGTTGCAGTCACAATAAACTGAAAGAGTTACCGGAGGAGGTATGGAGTTTGAAGAACCTCACCTGTCTCCAGCTTCAGCAGAATCTACTGGAGCAGCTGCCAGAGGGAGTGGGACAACTCACTAACCTGGATGACATCGTAAGTTCAGAACTGGGCATGAAAAACTATTGAAAAGAACACAACACAAATGAGATGTGTCAATGTAACAAAGTGATTATCTTAGATTAACTCTTTGGATGATTGTCGCTAACTTGTTTTTGTATTGTTGGTGGAAGGATCTTTCCAACAACCAGCTTACTGCCGTCCCTGACAGTCTTGGAAACTTGAACCATCTGGTGAAGCTGAACCTCTCCCACAACAAGCTGAAGAGCCTCCCCTCAGGAATCAGTGTCATGAAAAGTAAGAGGACAATGGCAGCAAATGTTTTGCTTTGTGTGTTGTTCAGTCTTTGTATTTTACATTTACATCATTTAGCAGACGCTCTTATCCAGAGCGACTTACAAATTGGTGCATTCAACTTATGATAGCCAGTGGGACAACCACTTTTTTTCTTCTTTTTTTTTGTGGGGGAGGGGGGGGTAGAAGGATTTATTTATACTATTCCAGGTATTCCTTAAAGAGGTAGGGTTTCAAGTGTCTCCAGAAGGTGGTCAGTGACTCCGCTGTCCTGGAGTCGTGGGGGAGCTTGTTCCACCATTGGGATGCCAGAGCAGCGAATAGCTTTGACTGGGCTGAGCGGGAACTGTGCTTCCGTAGAGGTAGGGGAGCTAGCAGGCCAGAGGTGGATGAATGTAGTGCCCTCGTTTGGGTGTAGGGTCTGATCAGAGCCTGAAGGTAAGGAGGTGCCGTTCCCCTCACAGCTCCGTAGGCAAGCACCATGGTCTTGTAGTAGATGCGAGCCTCAACTGGAAGCCAGTGGAGTGTGCGGAGGAGCGGGGTGACATGAGAGAACTTGGGAAGGTCGAACACCAGACGGGCTGCGGCGTTCTGGATAAGTTGTAGGGGTTTAATGGCACAGGCAAGGAGCCCAGCCAACAGCGAGTTGCAGTAATCCAGACGGGAGATGACAAGTGCCTGGATTAGGACCTGTGCCGCTTTCTGTGTAAGGTAGGGTCGTACTCTGCGAATGTTGTAGAGCATGAACCTGCAGGATCGGGTCAACGCTTTGATGTTAGCGGAGAACGACAGGGTGTTGTCCAGGGTCACGCCAAGGTTCTTTGCACTCTGGGAGGAGGACACGATGGAGTTGTCAACCGTGATGGCGAGATCATGGAGCGGGCAGTCCTTCTCCGGGAGGAAGAGCAGCTCCGTCTTGCCAAGGTTCAGCTTGAGGTGGTGATCCGACATCCACACTGATATTTCTGCCAGACATGCAGAGATGCGATTTGCCACCTGGTTATCAGAAGGGGGAAAGGAGAAAATGTATTGTGTGTCGTCTGCGTAGCAATGATAGGAGAGACCATGTGAGGATATGACAGAGTCAAGTGACTTGGTGTATAGAGAGAATAGGAGAGGGCCTAGAACTGTGCCCTGGGGGACATCAGTGGTGAGAGCACGTGGTGCGGAGACAGATTCTCGCCACGCCACCTGGTAGGAGCGACCTGTCAGGTAGGACGCAATCCAAGAGTGAGCAGCGCCGGAGATGCCCAACTCGGAGAGGGTGGAGAGGAGGATCTGATGGTTCACAATATCAAAGGCAGCGGATAGGTCTAGAAGGATAAGAGCAGAGGAGAGAGTTAGCTTTAGCAGTGCGGAGAGCCTCCGTGACACAGAGAAGAGCAGTCTCAGTTTAATGACCAGTCTTGAAACCTGACTGGTTTGGATCAAGTAGGTCATTCTGAGAGAGATAGCAGGAGAGTTGGCTAGAGACGGCACGCTCAAGAGTTTTGGAGAGAAAAGAAAGACGGGATACTGGTCTGTAGTTGTTGACATCGGAGGGATCGAGTGTAGGTTTTTTGAGGAGGGGTGCAACTCTCGCTCTCTTGAAGACTGAAGGGACATGGCCAGCGGTCAAGGATGAGTTGATGAGCGGGGTGAGGTAAGGGAGAAGGTCTCCGGAAATGGTCTGGAGAAGAGAGAAGGGGATAGGGTCAAGCGGGCAGGTTGTTGGGCGGCCGGCTGTCACAAGTCGCAAGATTTCATCTGGAGAGAGAGGGGAGAAAGAAGTCAAAGCATAGGGTAGGGCAGTGTGAGCAGGACCAGCGGTGTCATTTGACTTGATAAATGAGGATCGGATGTCGTCAACCTTCTTTTCAAAATGGTTGACGAAGTCATCCACAGAGAGGGAGGAGGGAGGGGGAGGAGGAGGAGGATTCAGCAGGGAGGAGAAGGTGGCAAAGAGCTTCCTAGGGTTAGAGGCAGAGGCTTGAAATTTAGAGTGATAGAAAGTGGCTTTAGCAGCGTAAACAGAGGAAGAGAATGTAGAGAGGAGGGAGTGAAAAGATGACAGGTCCGCAGGGAGTCTAGTTTTCCTCCATTTCCGCTCGGCTGCCCGGAGCCCTCTTCTGTGAGTTCGCAATGAGTCGTCAAGCCATGGAGCAGGAGGGGAGGACCGAGCCGGCCGGGAGGATAGGGGACATAGAGAGTCAAAAGATGCAGAAAGGGAGGAGAGGAGGGTTGAGGAGGCATAATCAGGAGATCGGAGGGAGAAGGATTTAGCAGAGGGAAGAGATGATAGGATGGAAGAGGAGAGCGTAGTGGGAGAGAGAGAGCGAAGGTTGCGACGGCACATTACCATCTGAGTAGGGGCAGAGTGAGTAGTGTTGGAGGAGAGCGAGAGAGAAAAGGATACAAAGTAGTGGTCGGAGACTTGGAGGGGAGTTGCAGTGATATTAGTAGAAGAACAGCATCTAGTAAAGATGAGGTCAAGCGTATTGCCTGCCTTGTGAGTAGGGGGGGACAGTGAGAGGGTGAGGTCAAAAGAGGAAAGGAGTGGAAAGAAGTAGGCAGAGAGAAATGAGTCAAAGACAGAAGTAGGGAGGTTAAAGTCACCCAGAACTGTGAGGGGTGAGCCATCCTCAGGAAAGGAACTTGTCAAGCTCATTGATGAACTCTTCAAGGGAACCTGGAGGGCGATAAATGACAAGGATGTTAAGCTTGAATGGGCTAGTGACTGTGACGGCATGGAATTCAAATGAGGAGATAGACAGATGGGTCAGGGGATAAAGAGAGAATGTCCACTTGGGAGAGATGAGGATTCCTGTGCCACCGCCGCGCTGACCAGATGCTCTCGGGGTATGCGAGAACACATGGTTAGACGAGAAAAGAGCAGTAGAAGTAGCAGTGTTTTCTGTGGTAATCCATGTTTTCGTCAGCGCCAAGAAGTCGAGGGACTGGAGGGTAGCATAGGCTGAGATAAACTGCCTTGTTGGCCTTAGAACGGCAGTTCCAGAGGCTGCCGGAGACCTGGAACTCCACGTGGGTCGTGCGCGCAGGGACCACCAGATTAGAGTGGCAACAGCCACGTGGTGTGAAGCGTTTGTATGGCCTGTGCAGAGAGGAGAGAACAGGGATAGACAGACACATAGTTGACAGGCTACAGAAAAAGGCTACAATAATGCAAAGGAGATCGGAATGAAATGAACTAAACATCTGGGAAAGCGAGAGAGCGGGGCCTCCCTCACTTGGGTTTCACTGAAACACTCAAATATAACTCTCCCAACTTCCACTTTAGAAATTATAATTGTTGTAAACTACAGCGGTTCAATGTTTTCTAGGAATAGACTCTAACTTAGTTTATTCAGCTAGCTAACTTACAGTATTCTTCCGTGAAAACCGTCCAGGGCACCGAATCCTATGACGCCATAGCCAACTAGCATGCCAGCCTCCAATAACACGGTTTAGCACCAATACTCGGTTACAACAAACCACCAGTGTGTTAACACGCCAAGCAGATCATTCGTGTCCGTGTCTAACGTTGTCTGTACTGCCTACCTGTTAGAAATGGATGCATCCACTTTAATATTCTTGACATGAACATGGCTGAAGCATAACATCCTGTATGAACGTCTCCACAGATTTGAGACTGCTGGACTGCACACACAATCAGCTTGAGAGCATACCTCCTGTCTTGTCTCAAATGGCGTCTCTAGAGCAGCTCTATCTGAGACACAACAAACTGCGCTTTCTTCCTGAACTGCCCTCCTCAAGGCTCAAGGTAAGGATACTGATTGTCAGGTGTCCTTTGAGAAGGAACTTTTGAGTCTCAATGAGATCGCCTGTATGAATTAATTGTAAATAAGTGCCCTATGCAAACTCTGACATCTTTCTATCACCTGTCTGGTAGGAGCTGCATGTTGGGAATAACCAGATTGAGGTGCTGGAGGCAGAGCACCTGAAACACCTGAGCGCTCTGAGTGTATTGGAGCTGAGGGACAACAAGGTGAAGAGTCTCCCTGAGGAAATCAAACTACTCCAAGGCCTGGAGCGCTTAGACCTAGTCAACAATGACATCAGCAGGTAGGTTTGCCTGATCTGATCTCTCCTCAGCGCATACTGTACTTGGTCCACGTCACAGGTCTAGTGCTGTTATTCTTAACTATTTTATTTATTATTTAGTTGATTTAGCCTCTTTCACCTGTGCACATAACACATTTATACACAGCACAAATGAAATACCAACAACACTAACAAGTCAAAACACCCCAAAATGTCTTGTAGTGTTTAGCTGCCTGGATATCTTATGGCTGTGTTACTGCATGTCTCCCTTGTATGTGTGAGCCAGTCTGCCAGCTGCCCTTGCCTTCTTGCCCAAGCTGAAGATCCTGACCCTAGAGGGCAACCCTCTGAGAGGCATCCGCAGAGACCTCCTGACTGTGAGTTAGTTAGAACGACATCTCATTACCTTCTGGAAGCTACTACAGTTTCACCACTACAATATAACCTCAATTAACCTCAATGTAGAGTTGCAATGTAGCCAATTGCAGTCTGTGATAGGGTATGACTTTTGTGTCCTTCACAGAAAGGAACCAATGAATTGCTGAAATACTTGAGGGGTCGAATAAAAGGTACGATTATGTTTTAGTCTTTTTCTGTCTATGCAGAAGGTTCTCGTATTCAGTGAATAGACTGTTTCTATTTACTTTGCAAGGTTTTGTGGAAAGGCCACTGTTGTATTACCAGATTGTCTCATATCATTGGACTGACATTTTTGTTTTCCATTTTGATCTGAAGAGGATCCAGATGGCAAAGGAGATGAGCCTGACACTGCCATGACTCTGCCCAGTCAGGCAAAGATCAACGTGCACACCATTAAAACACTGAAGTCATTGGACTACAGGTGTGTCAACTATTATTTTGTGCCGTGTTTGAAGCTCAGTTTAAGACATTCTGGGAAAGTTACAAACTCCTCAAACGTTCTACCACAAATATATTGCATTGCCACAGCATAAGGATAGTTGTGATGTAATGAAGTGCTGTCAGTAAACTGTTGTGTGTGTGACCCTGGTCCCAGTGAGAAGCAGGTGGCATGTGTTCCTGATGATGTGTTTGATGCTGTGGGAAGTGAGGCCGTCGCCAGTGTCAACTTCAGCAAGAACCAGCTGGCTGCAGTGCCTCCCAGGTACCCTGCTTATAATCAGTGACTTCACACCACAGTCTGGGCCTATGGGGGAAAAACCCTCAGTGTGAGAAGAATCACACCACTCATAAAAGTGTTGAAAGAGAATGTTGTTGAAAGAGAATGTTAGCTACAGTAGGACTGTTGTGGTGATGATGTTGGATGAGTTTGCGTGAGTCTCTGCTTGATCCTCAGGGTTGTGGAGTTGAAGGACTCCGTCTCTGACATCAACCTGGGCTTCAACAAGCTGACCAGCCTCCCCTTGGAGTTCTGCATGCTGCAGCAACTGGCACACATAGACCTCAGGTACATGAGCACTGCCAATCAGCCTCCACAGCACATCTATCACCTCTACAGCTCAAATATCAAAAGGCCTCATCTTTCCAAAGAAAAGTAGTGTTTGTGTAGCGGAGGTCAGTAAATCGAGAGGCTAAACCTTTTTTAGACTACGAGGTGTGGATTTCTGGTAGGAGCTTTGTTTTGAACCTGTCTTAAATTGGTACGTTTGCTTAAGATGGTACGTCGGTGCATGTGAGACATTTGTAATATGCTGTTTTTGGGGCTTTTCCCTCAGAAACAATCTTTTGACATCGCTGCCAATGGAAATTGAGGCCTTAATGAAACTGCGGAGCATCACACTGTCCTTCAACAGGTAAGCACTCAGATCATAAAGGGATGTATTCATCGTGCTGTACATCGATGATTGGTAAGAACGGATTCAAATTCATGTCATATTTTGACAGGTTTAAATTGTTCCCGGATGTGCTGTACCGGGTTCCTAGCCTGGAGACCATTCTGATCAGTAATAACCAGGTGGGAACCATTGACCCACTGCAGCTCAAAGCTCTGGACAAGCTGTCCACTCTGGACCTGCAGAACAATGACATCATGCAGGTGCCACCTGAACTGGGCAACTGCACCAGCCTGAGGTAGGGACCGGGATGTGACGCTGGGTTTAGTGGACAATATATGATGTGACGAAGATATAACTGGACAGGATTTCAAAAAGTGTGGGAGTATCTGGTTTTATTTAGATAGGGGAGGAAGCTACAGGAATTGTGCTATTTGGGTCAGGTATGGTGTTGAATAGCAATCAGAAAAGGTAGTGATCCATATAGTTGTGATTTTGCTCTGAGCTGTTGCTGTCTAGAGGGAAGTATGTACTTGTATATCAATATTTTAAGCTGGCTTGAAGCTGGTCTCTTACTAATTCTCTCGTCTTTCCCTTAGGGCCCTCATGCTGGATGGAAATCCTTTCCGCAACCCCAGAGCAGCCATTGTATCCAGAGGAACTGATGCTGTCCTGGAGTACCTACGAAGCAGGATCCCTACATAGTCAACTGCATTAAAGCCTACATCACACCAAATGAGATAGTTGAGAAAATACAATTTTATGTTTAATCAGTGTTAGATGTTTGCCTTGAAACTAACTGCCATTATTCTGTAAAAAGTTTCATGACATTCGAGCCTGATGATTTGAAGTGTATCTTCTCTTGTTGTTTCATATAAAGTATGAATGATTACTACTGGGAGACTGCTGTAACAATGTTTACAGGATCTTCTACCAATGGCAATATTTTAATTCCATTCCAAACTGACAAGCCTGTCTTAGTGTGGGTTATTTTTCTCAATATGTGGAAAAACAACAGCAATTCAAGTTTTGCATTCAATGTTTCATAACATAATGCATGGGTTTTAATTTTGATTGTATGGCCATTGCAAGATAATCTGATACACTTCTACTGATTGGCCTTGACCTGTTTCATTCCTCGCTCCAAATGAGACTTTTAAAATGTTCTATAATTCTCAAAAATTCATTTCTAATGACATTGAGATATTTGTTTTTGTTACAGTACCTAATAGCCTTAAAAAAAAAAATCATCGGTGTTCTTCAGGCACTTTTTATGTGAGTCACTACTTCTCTGTCTGCATGCACTCTGTCATTTTATTCATGAAAACTGATTAAGACAATTGAACCACGTCTGTGTCAATGACTCGAATGACTATATGGATTCAAGTCCAACCACATTAAATATGCACAAGGCAGATGTGTTTGGTGCTTTGATCCCTTGTTATTGTCTGTATGTTTATTTTTAAGTGGTAAAACACCACCTAGTGGGAGAAAAGTGAAGTGTGATGGAGGGCAGTAAGATACCAGACTTAGAATAAAAACATGAAATATGACATTTTAGTCATTTAGCAAACGCTCTTATCCAGAGTGACAAATGAACTTCATCATTTAGGGGAAGAAAATAGTGATTTTGATGAGATTGTATAAAGACCAGAGGACCATGAGAATAACAATAGTAACATTTTTATTATTTGTACAATAGACTTTTATACATTATTCAAAACACTTCTTAAATACTGAAAAATTGTACTTCCAAAGCCGAAAATGGCTCTGATATTTGCTGCACAGCATTTTTCGTTCAATTTTATAATCTTTTTAAATAAAAATGTATCTTAAATATGTACAGATAGCATCTGCAAAATGCAATCTAAACACACAATATATACTTTACCAATTACATTTATTTGTCTTAATACAGAAATAAAACTGGAAGGATTAAACTTGCATGTGCAAATAAATAGTATAATTATCACTAAATGTGTCCAACTAAACAGAATAGTTCTCTTTTAATAGTTAAAATTACTTTTTGCACAAAAAATGAAGCAGCATTCAAGTCCAGTAAGTCTTCATACTGCAGAAGCTTGGAGTACATTCACAATCTATGAATAAATTATCTCAATGTGTTTTCATTCACAATTATTTACATCAATACTGCAATTAGACTGAATATTACCATATATTCGCTTTTTTATATTTAGTTGTATTTTAAACACATACAAAAATGACTATTTTTATATTCATATACATATATATAATATTTGTATAACACAAATTCACAATTACTGTAGAAATACATTTTATACATTTGATAGTACAGCTTTTCTTCTCCAAGTCGTAAGATCTTCATCCATACTCTTTCAGTGTCCTTATAAAATCTTGCAATTTGAGCAAAGCTATATATTTGAGCAAAGGTATATCAATATATTCAGAATAATTATCTGACAACATTTAGTAAAAATAATTATATTATCAAACTTTCTGTCACAATATCTTGAATATTTAACTCATAATTGACTGGATATCGAAGTACCACGTACCAGCTTAGCTTGCCACAAATTCAACCAGGGTCCCTCCATAGGGTTATAGGTGCTTAGTTTTTCTCAAGAATGTCACATTTGATGCTACATTTGACAAAAATGGTTGTGAAAAATGGTCAGGGCTCATAAGGAATATGTTTTGATTGGAATAAAATGGCACCAATTTTCACAATATAATAATCTCACCGGTTTGCAAAAAGAGAGAAATCTCTTTATGAGAGAGACCCTAAAATCTATTTCAAAACACAGAGAATGTATCCCAAAAACCATGCTGTAACATCAGAGTTTAAAATGAACATCCATCCAGAAATGTAACAGGGTGAAATGCCTATTCTGGGCAGTGGGATTGTTGGAGAAAAAAAACATAGATTTTGCATGAATACTTTTCCAATTATGCATTGTCTTAATAAACTGAGATTGAAATTAAGTTCTAAAAAGTAATTGGTGTTCTACAGAGTGGTGCTGAAAAGCTAAGCAATATTACTCACACCACTTCAAATCAGTGCAGACAAAACAACTCAAAATGTTTTTTTTTATAGAAATACAGACAAACAAATGAGAAATGATGTTACAACTGTGGGTAAATTCTTTAGGAGATTAATGTGGGGGTATGTATACATTGCATACTCCTTGGCACAATTACAGGACATACGGGAAACCACATAATGTAGCCAGCAGATGGCCCTCTAGGGTAGTCTTGTCATGTTTAGAAAATGACTTTCAGAGGTGGGATAGAATATTGCTTCTACTTTTTCAATTTTTCAATTCATGTGTGCAAACATATACATTATTGAGCATTGAGCAACTTCAAAAAATCTAGCTCACATAATGCAGTGACTGGTTGGGTATAGAGATCAACATAGTTTTAAAACAATGAAATAAACTGGTGGGAAAACCTATAATAAAAACTAAAACAACTATTGATAAGTTGGCCCAGTATTAAGGTAGGAGACAAGTGCCATTATTTTTTTTCTTCAATCCATTTCAACAATTCAAGAACATTGTAAAAATGTATTTTCAGTACCATTCCTCTCTCAACTGTTCATGTCTTTATTGTAAATGAAAATATTTACACAAGGCATATACAAAGTTGAGGCAGTGTTTATTGTGAATGTAATTCCTAAAGAGCTAGTGTGTTTTCATGCTCTGTGAGTAAAATGAGAAGCTACAATGAAAAAGGTACAAAATGAAAGGCAATATAAATAAGCAAAACATTTCCAAATAAAAACAAAGATCAAATAAAAATAAATAACATGAAATTACTCCAACCTACAGCCTCGGGCTGAATGAGAAAAATTACTTTTGTTTACATCAACTCAAGATATACATTTCCTGTTTACACAAAATTCATAGATAGGTTATAAGATATGTATCCTATAGTACATTTGGCACTAGTATCTGCCATTGGTCCAGCAATTGGCAAATGTCTCTGTTCCTAGATAAAAACTGGTTGTACACATTTCCACAAACCGTTTGGGCGAGAAGCAATGGTGTTATAAAAAATATTTAATTTGTGCTCTCCCTCAAGATTACCAAGTCCACAGGCTTCTGGAAATTCTTCAGAAGAGACACAGCAGTTTCATGTTCCATGTGTAAAAAACTATGTCCATTGCCCTGCAATGCAGAAATGAAGCAGAGGGTGAACAGAGTGATGGGGGTGAGGAGGGGCAGGGCGGGGCAGGGCGGCACGGAGGACTGGGAACAGCCCTAGCTCAGGAGATAGAAACACAACACTGTCAAGGAAAAGAGGAGAGAAAGAGCAGAGAGATGCACACAGGAAGAGAAGGAGGTCATGCTGTAAAGGAGAGAAGGAGGAGAGAAGCTGGTCTTTAGAGGTCTGTCCTTCAGCTAACACTTGCATCTGTGGAGAGAGTAGAGAGGTGCCTGCTTCTGCAGGCTATGGGTGGGCGAGGGGTGAGGGCTTCTACTAGCACACATTTAAAGCCACACAGATACAACAGACATGCCAATAACTGTAGAGACTATTCCAATCACATTAAGTTGTATTGGCACAGAGAGCCTGGCTTGTTCATGTAGGCTTCACTGTCAGGGATTTGTCTGGATTTATGACTGACAAACGTGGCCTGAACAGTAGCTTTACATGGACCAGAAATCTGACAATCTACAGGGGTACAGTGCCCTCTCTGCACTATGGTAAACACTTACTTTGACAGCTTCATCCCTATGTACTGTATGTGTGGTGGTGATTACCCTTTTAGAATAACAGCCCTCTACCTAAGCTAAATACACCACGACATCATAGTGTGCAATTCGTTTCTTATTGCATTGGGTAGAAGAGCTCTGATGCTCGTCCTAAAAGGTTTACTCCTGAAGTATTTACGAGAAGAGACTTGAGGATCTGATAATACTGAAGTAGAGGAAAAGACCAGATTCAATCTTTGCTGCAAAGTTGGAAAGATGGAGAAGATAGTTGAGAAAAAATGGCAGAAGATGCTCCAGGGGTTTCAAGGTTATCAAATAAGTTGAGATCAGGTTGGACTTGCACATTTTTGACATTTTTTGTTGTTGTTGTACTTTTACATTTTTGTACTTTGAGTATTTCAGAAATAAACCAATTGATCCAGCACATTACATTGCTGGTCGATACTTAGTTTTCATGCATCTAAAACATCACATTAGGAATCCTATCATATCAGTAAAGTTACTTACTTGCATGTTTGTCCACTTAGATTTTCAGTCTGTTTCTATGGGCCTTTATTAGGATACATACAGTATAACCACTATTATTCGAAGACCTGACTGACTGAGGGACAAGTAAAGCATGTTGGAGGTTTGACCAAGGTCAAAACAGAGGACCATGCTCACTTGGTAGACACACGTACGTCCAGCACAAAATGCCACATGCAAAGCCTCTACTGGCAATGTGGCGGAGGGAGGATGCGCTCTCACAGACTCAGAGGACAATGATGATCGATGCAGTGATGAAGAACATGGTTACCTTCAGTATTTTGTCCCCAGGCTGAAGCAGGTTGGAGGCTGGTCCATCAGGCTGTACCCTAGTAACAAAGATACCCTATAAGTCAAAAGTGATATGAGGTTAGGAACCACATGGTGAAGATGGTTTAGAATCTTTGCCTTTTGGTGTTTAGCGCTTTTGTTTGTGTTTTCCTCGAACTCAAGTTCTGTGCATGATTTTGATGATGTCATTGCCAACGTTAACATTATAGGTTTAGCTGGTCTGTAAAAAGCAGACAGTAAGGATCTGTCACAAGATAAAAAAATTGTGTTGTCCGAGTGTGCTCTGTTGGTTTAATTCAAGAACTACATGTACTTACATGGCATTTACGACTACCTTTAATGAAAAGATAAACAGTACTAAAACAGTTACGCTAACAAAAATATTTGTCCATCTATTTACAAAGATATGGACACTGTGGGGGATGTTTTTTACATTTCATGTTTCCCAAAAAATTCTAATCAAGGCAGAGATTATAAATATACCAATCTTTGCATGCGTTTAAACCATATGAAGATGCTCATAATACCATATGAAGATGCTTACTCAACACAGTTAAACAGTTAATCCTCACTTGAAGCCCGAATAACGTTACTAACATCTAATGACTCATGTATTACATCAGGGACTCCTTGAGGCATCACAGGAAAGCAGGCCCATAGAAGATTCCCTCAGTAATCAGCATGCACCACCTTTCAGTGGGGTGCTAAGATGGGGGATGATATGCATACAAAATATACAACACATTCAATGGCTATAACAATGTTTACAACATCGAATTTGAATTCTATTTCTATGGCTTACAAGACTTTCCCCCTGCAAATATAATGTCTAGGAGAAGAAACTAGGGACTGGATTCAATCCATATCGCAGAAGTATCGCGGAAGATCCGCGTTATAGCTCGATTGAAATTTAAAGGCAATGTTCCCGCGACTGCATTCATGGTAAACGCTGCATATGTCATCTCAATCGGAAATTACCTTTAAATTTTTACGTGGATCTTCCGCAATACTTCTGCGATAAAGATTGAATCCAGCCCTAAGCTTGGATGTTTCAAAACGATAAGGGAAAAAATTGCCAGTGACAACAACATTTTAACTGATTTAGAAATGTTTGAAATGCAAAGCTATGGACATTTTTCTCACTGCATCCTTTCTTTGCTGTTACATGGACATTTGCCAACCTTACGTCTACATTACGATTCATTGCCACAAAAGTGTGGAGTCTTTTCTTGATTCTTGCTCATTATTGGCATATAATAAAAAGGTTCAAAGTTAACCAAGTCAACTGCAGCACTGCATAGCATACAGCATTGTAGTAGTACTTGTTATCATGGAAACTCTGAAGTGAGACATACAGTGCTGTGCAGTGGTTATTCAAACAGCTTAAGGAATAGGCTACAGCAGAGAAAAATGTTGCTCATACAGAGAACATTTAGCTGCTTTAATCTTACCATGTCAGAAGGCTTGAAGGGGTTCCCTTGGCCACTGATTCCCCCTGAGATGCTGAACCCTAAGCCTGGATTCTTCTCTATCCGCACACAGAACTGCCAAACGACACAAAAACGTAATATTGCCAAAAATATAAATTTGGTATTTTATAACGATGCAATTACATGGTGCAACATCTATCCTCTCTATATACCGGTAGCCAGAATATAGGCCTCTCAGAGATCTGTTGGCAACCAGATTGAGAGAGGGAAAGGGAGAGAGAGAGAAGGAGAGTGAAAGGATGCTTGAGAGGAAGAGGGTGAGAGAGAAACACAGAGAGACAAACACAGATGGAGAGACAAACACAGAGACAAACAAAGAGATGGAAGTGGAGAGAGGGAGTGATGGCCAACCTGCTCCTGGAAGCCGTCCATGCTTTTCTGGCCTTTGGTCTGGATGAGACAACGTGCGCTCTGGGGACGGGGGCTGGTGGTGGTGGCCATGGGCAGAGGAGACTGGTACTGCTGGATGGAGATCTTGTTGATGGCGCCCTCGTACTGCTGGTCCCGCACCGAGCGGTGTGGGGGTGTGGCCGACGCGGACGTCACGATCATGGTCTGTGATTGGTGGGGGTGGGGGTGGGGGTGGGGGTGGGGGTGGGGGTGGTGGCCGCCTGCCTGTGGGTAATTCAACCCGTTAGGCAAAGAGTCAGGAAGCTGCAAAGATGCAAACGTCACGTCTTACAAAATGGCGGATAACAGACAGATGAGGTGCAGCATGCTTCAGCCCCTATCTCTGTTAGTTTGGTTTTCTTCAAGCCTGCAAATCCTATCGTCCTACATGATCCTCTTCGAAAAAAGGTGCTATTTAGAACCTAAAAGGGTTCTTCGGCTGTCCTCATAGGAGAACCCCTTTGAAGAACCCTTTTTGGTTCCATGTAGAACCCTTTCCACATAGGGTTCTTCATGGAACCCAAAAGAGTTCTACCTGAAACCAAAAAGGGTTCTAACTGGAACCAAAAAGGGTTCTCCTATGGGGACAGCCGAAGAACCCTTCTGGAACCCTTTTTTCTAAGCGCGTACAAGTAATAAAACAGGATACACAACCCACAGTTTTCTCTGTGCATTAATATTTCATAGGAAGTCCCTGGTTTACCGTTTTCATTATTCTTGCACAGAGACTGATGGCTAGAATGTGACCACAATGAAATGACTGCCAAACTAACTGACAAACAGAGGTTGCCAGGGAGACCAAGCAAGAATGGAGCGCTGCTTGAATGATTCATGGTGCTTAGCAATTACTCCTGACATTTAACAACATTGACATAGCAATCACAGCTAAATAAAGGAGCCCATCTTAAAAGAACAGGTGGAGGAACCTTAAGAAGTACAACAGGGACAAGACAGGGGATCCTTTTTGAAGTATTATGTGGTTATACTGTATGTCCTTGTAATGTCACCTTTGTTTAAAAACAATGGTTGTGTGGTGGTGTATTACGGTTTGACATTAAATGTACTGGTATGTCATAAATAAATACATGAATGAGCTACAAGCCCAATGTTTCAGTCAGCAAATTGGGTGATAATGAGCACTATTTCATCAGCATAGTTTAGGGTCAAATTAACAGTGACATTACACCACATATCTAACACTTCAAACAGGCCTCTCTCCCGGTCCTTTGCCAGTGTAAAGCACCAACCTTTTTCATGATGTTTTCTGGGGGCACGTCTCTCCTGCCCAGTGAGTAGGGGGCCCACTGAGTGGTGGGAGAGCCCACCTCCTGGCCGTTGTCTAATATATTGCTCTGTTGAGAGGGGGTCTGGAGAGAGAATAGGTTAAAGGAACAGGGTTCAGAGTATCATTACGGCTATGGGGGTAACCTGTGTTTTCTGCAAAAATGACAACAGTTTTACCAGAGATAAAGATGAATATATTTACTGTGTTAATTATAAGGTTATAATCGTTGATAATAATAATACTATTGATGGAGCACTGCAGATAGTAAACCAGTGGGTGTCCTTGGATCAATCATGACCTTAACTTCTTTATAATAGTAAGCTTAAAGTCCTATGCGTATGAATATATTAGTTGGGATATTTGCCTCCTGTCATTTATCCACATACAATACTTTTTTGTTAAGATTAGATTGTGACAGGTTTAGAGATATTCTGACAGGGTTGGCCTTCAAAAGGATATATTATTTAGGCACTAAAATACCTACATGAGAAACATTATCAAGCAAGAAACTCTGATACAATCTCTGCTTTTTATTACAATGTGCTTGTCTATGTCCTGAAATGCATGGTGTCTATTCACTAGGCTCCATTGGATTGAGGCTACTGAGTGACACAGAGTACAATAATAGCCTTACACAGTAATAATAGCACAGAGGACTGCTGTAACCCATAGAGCAGAGCGGACACTGTAGCTGACACATAGATTGCAGACATGCAACACACCGCAGACATTTTAAGATTTCAGACAACAGATAAAAGACAGCACTTGGCTTGAAGTTGAAATGGGAGGGATTGCCATGTCAGTCATTTTAAGGCTTGTTTCACACCGACACAGTTGGTGTCATTTGGCTGAGAAATTGTAAAATACTCGGCTTCACTATGGATTCTATACTGATACTGTCATACATGAGGCTTAGCCCATCAAATGTCATGGTATATCTGTAGACTAGTTTTTGTTTGATGTTGAAATATGGACTATAATAAAAAAGATATACAAGCATAGCATTTCAATATTTAAGGAAGTGATAAAAAAAATTCACATTCTCCATTGTAAGGCAATTGTAGTTATTGGTAATATTGTGCTTCTTATGATAAATTTTGTTTTTAAGCTTTTATCCTTAAAAAAAACAGTAAAAATGCAGTACACTCTCTATCACATGAATGTTAAAGGGTTCAACTGCACTGAGACTGTTTCTGTGTTTTCTGGTTCATACTCACATTGGGTAGAGGTAGCCACTGTGTTGTTTGGTTTTCATGCTTATTCGTGTTATTGTAAAAGTTTATTGTCATGCTTCTGCCGGCATGCGGTGCGGCATAGCCTCCAGAGTACAGCATGCCGAAGTTTACTGTGTTGTGCTTAAGGACAGCGCTCTGATTGGAGGGAAACAACCGCGTGACATGAGTAAATGGGTGAGCCACTGGGTAAACGGGATTGCACCAACACACATTGCGTAGCTGCAACAGATAAAGTGAGCTTGACAAACAGAACAACAACAGTACAGAGTTACTACAGTACCAGCACAAACACATTAAAAACACACTCATGGATACAGTATGATTACGTATACCATACAAGCAACAGTATGCACTTTTCTTTAAGAGATGTATAGCACTGAAGTATTTGCCTATATTATCAAGGGCCGATTTCCCAGACCCAGATTAAGCCTAGTCCTGGAGAGCTTTTTAGTTTAGAACTAGGCTTAATCAGTGTTAGGGAAACTGACCCAAATTGTAGTAGTACAGACAGATATATTTTTCTTGTTAAAGTATGATATCATACTAACAGTAATAGTAGAAAGAAAATTAAAGAGAAGAGAAAGAAGAGAAAGGAGGTAGAGAGGAAACCTTACCATGTTTGTGCTTCTTATCACAATCAACATAAGTGATAAACATACATGGAGAAACATCAAGTGGGTCTGGTGCCACAACTGGAGCACATTACTAAGCAGTGGACTGAACACGTTCATTAATACTGACAGTCATGCAGACATGTGGCGTGTGTGTCAAGACAACAGAAGCTCCCATATAGATGGTGTGTGATCATGTAATAAACTGTGTGTTCCCAAGGTGAATAAGAAGTTGTCAGACTTACCCGGTCTAATCGTTTGGCCTCTATATGTCTAAGCAGCTGTTGCCGCCAGTCTACTGGCATTTTAGAGGACATATCATCAGACTTATGCTGCAGCTGCATGGTGCGCATTTTGATCTCATCAGGGCTCTTTATATTCTCAGTGCAAGTGCTTAGATTATAATCTGGGGGCATCTTCTCCAACAGGGCAGCCATTGTGGGTCTGGCAGACACAGGCCTGGCCTGGGACGCCCCAAATGTCTCTGTGCTGTAACTCCTGGCCGACAGGGGGCGTCGCTGTGTCAGGCTCTTGGTGGGGTAGCCCATGATAGGCTTCTTGGGCTCCTGGTAGGAGGAATAGTCTTCCTCGTACCTGCCATTCCTCTTGTTGTACTGTTGGTCCTGCTGGGCCATGCTGGGACTGTTCTGTTGCTCCAGCATGCCTTTGAAGTGCTGCCGGCCATAGTGGTCCGACATCTGCTGCATCTCCTGGGCCTCCTGAACCCTGCGGAACAGAGCCAGCTCTGTGGAGCTGACCAGGGAGTCGGCCCGCCTCAGGAACCCAGGCCGGGAGCGCTGACTGGGGATGGGGAAGGGTTGCTGCTGCTGGGGTGGCTGGTTCTCCTCGTTAACTGAGGGCTGAGAGTATGAGAACATCTGGTCCATGGGCGGGTAACCCCGGTAGCCCCTGGGGCTCACCAGCTCTTTGGGCAGGGTCTTCCCCGGCTGGTTGACATACTCAGGGGTGTTGGGGAAGGGCGGAGGGGCCCTCCTCTCCTGTTGCTGATTCCTCATATCCATAGCCCCCTGAGGGTTGAAGCTCTGGTCGAAGTGGTAGACCTTCTTGGGGATGGCAGGCTTCTGCTGCTGGCTATTGGTGCCGTAGGCGTCATCATCATCCAGCATGGGGGCAGACTGGCTGCGGGACATGCTCTGCTCCATGGGTGCTGGCATGTCTGGACGGTCAACACTCCCCTGGTTCTCTATGCTGGAGCTGTAGCTGTCCACGGGGATGCTGTACACCTTATAGGAGCCCATGTCTATTTCGTCAATGCTCTGGGACTTCTTGAACTTAGCCTTCACCTCCTTCATCATGGGAGAGAGGCGCTCAGAGCTCTTGCTCATCACCATGGCCCCAGAGCTTGGTCTAGTGGGCTTGGATTGGACATGTTGGTACATGCTGGACATGTTGGCCTGCTGGTTGCTGCGCCCCTGACCCTGCCCCGAGTTCCTGGAGTCTAGGTAACCCCATGTCCCTGTGGAGGGGAACGTGCCCGGCAGCTCCCCATGATGCATCTCCTGCTCAAAGTCCTTGCGGTCAGGGTTGGGGCTGTTGCCTGGGGAGCTCAGTTTGGAGGGGAAAGCTGTGCGGTCCTCGAAGGGGCTGGGCGTTCGCGTCCAGTTCTGCCATGGGTTGGGAGGGGGAGGCTGAGGCACTTCAGTTTCGGGCGTGGTGCGGACATTATGGAATTGGTGGGAGGGGTGTTGGTGTTGGTGAGGGGCCTCCTGCAGCTCCAGGGGGACGCCCACAATGCGCTCCTGCCTCATGAGGGGCCGGCGGCCCCCGTGGGAGGTGGAGGAGCTGCGGGACTTGGAGCCCAGCATGGGGTTACCACTACTGCTACCACTGGGGGTCTCCAGAGGAGCCTCCTCAGACACGAAGCCTGTGTTGTCGTAGTGGGAGGTATCGTTCCACTGGTCAAAGGTGTCGCTGAGGGGGCGTCGCTCACTGCGCTGCTGCAGTGTGCTGGAGGGAGGGGTCTCTCTGGGGTCTCTCTGACTCAGTAGTGGCTTGGTCTCAATGGGCTTGGGGAACTGCTGGACCAGCCTGCAGAAAGAGAGTAAGCACATAGAATAGAGCGCAACATTCATAATCGACCTGAAAATATGATTTGAAATACAGATGTCTTCCTTGACCTCGAGTTTTGATAGGTAAAATCAAAGGCTGCATTCAAATAGAAAGGTACTGTGTATTTTAAAGAATGTTTGCCTCAAGCTATACTGCTGGCATTTCAAAGGGAATCTTTTTAGAAATACACTGCTCGAAAAAAAACACTTAAACAACACAATGTAACTCCAAGTCAATCACACTTCTGTGAAATCAAACTGTCCACCTAGGAAGCAACACTGATTGACAATACATTTCACATGCTGTTGTGCAAATGGAATAGACAATAGGTGGAAATTATAGGCAATTAGCAAGACACCCCCAATAAAGAAGTGGTTCTGCAGGTGGTGACCACAGACCCCTTCTCAGTTCCTATGCTTCCTGGCTGATGTTTTAGTCACTTTTGAATGCTGGCGGTGCTTTCACTCTAGTGGTAGCATGAGACGGAGTCTACAACCCACACAAGTGGCTCAGGTAGTGCAGCTCATCCAGGATGGCATATCAATGCGAGCTGTGGCAAGAAGGTTTGCTGTGTCTGTCAGAGTAGTGTCCAGAGCATGGAGGCGCTACCAGGAGACAGGCCAGTACATCAGGAGACGTGGAGGAGGCCGTAGGAGGGCAACAACCCAGCAGCAGGACCGCTACCTCCGCCTTTGTGCAAGGAGGAGCAGGAGGATCACTGCCAGAGCCCTGCAAAAAAGGTGGGGGTTGTGCTTACAGCCCAACACCGTGCAGGACGTTTGGCATTTGCCAGAGAACACCAAGATTGGCAAATTCGCCACTGGCGCCCTGTGCTCTTCACAGATGAAAGAAGGTTCACACTGAGCACATGTGACAGACGTGACAGAGTCTGGAGACGCCGTGGAGAACATTCTGCTGCCTGCAACATCCTCCAGCATGACCGGTTTGGCGGTGGGACAGTCATGGTGTGGGGTGGCATTTCTTTGGGGGGCCGCACAGCCCTCCATGTGCTCACCAGAGGTAGCCTGACTGCCATTAGGTACCGAGATGAGATCCTCAGACCCCTTGTGAGACCATATGCTGGTGCGGTTGGCCCTGGGTTCCTCCTAATGCAAGACAATGCTAGACCTCATGTGGCTGGAGTGTGTCAGCAGTTCCTGCAAGAGGAAGGCATTGATGCTATGGATTGGCCCGCCCGTTCCCCAGACCTGAATCCAATTGAGCACATCTGGGACATCATGTCTCACTCCATCCACCAACGCCACGTTGCACCACAGACTGTCCAGGAGTTGGCGGATGCTTTAGTCCAGGTCTGGGAGGAGATCCCTCAGGAGACCATCCGCCACCTCATCAGGAGCATGCCCAGGCATTGTAGGGAGGTCATACAGGCACGTGGAGGCCACACACACTACTGAGCCTCATTTTGACTTGTTTTAAGGACATTACATCAAAGTTGGATCAGCCTGTAGTGTGGTTTTCCACTTTAATTTTGAGGGTGACTCCAAATCCAGACCTCCATGGGTTGATAAATTTGATTTCCATTGATCATTTTTGTGTGATTTTGTTGTCAGCACATTCAACTATGTAAAGAAAAAAGTATTTAATAAGATTATTTCATTCATTCAGATCTAGGATGTGTTGTTTAAGTGTTCCCTTTAATTTTTTTGAGCAGTGTATATCATCAAAGGAAAATATGTCTGATTTGAGCTGGACTGTTTTCCATAGAGGTCTGAAAGTAACAGTAGGAATATCAAACAAGTCAACACGAATTTTATCCACAGATGAAAAAAGGCTCTTTCAGTGAGAGCTCCATCTGTAGCCAAGATTCAGTAAGATAAAATGGTAGGGTTTCAGCTGCATTTCAACGAAGATGAGAGTGGGATAGGAACTGTTCCCTCTGACCTGGTTGGGGTGAGACTGAGAGGAGAGAGGGAGAGAGAGAGAGAGATGAGGGGGCCCGTGGAGTGAGAGAGAGAGAGAGAGAGAGAGAGAGAGAGAAGAGAGAGAGAGAGAGAAGAGAGAGATAGCGGAGAGAGAGAGAGAGAAGAGAGATGAGAGAAGTGCGAGAAGAGAGGCGAGAGAGCGAGAGAGAGCGCGAGAGAGAGAGCAAGAGAGAGAGAGAGGGAAGAGAGAGAAGAAGAGAAGATAGAGGATAGAGATAGAGAGAGAGAGCGAGAGGGAGAGAGAGAGAGAGAGAGACGATAGAGATAAGAGGAGAGAGATAGATATAGCGTGCGAGAGATAGAGTGCGAGATAGAGAGAGAGCGGAGAGAGAGAGAGAGCGAGAGAGAGAGCGAGAGAGAGAGCGAGAGAGAGAGCGCGAGAGAGAGAGCGAGAGAGAGAGAGAGCGCGAGAGAGAGAGAGCGATAGAGAGAGAGAGAGAGCGAGAGAGAGAGAGAGAGAGAGAGAGAGGTGTGCTGTGCTGCGCTCTCTCAGTCTTATGGAGATATATGTTAATGAGAGATGTAAAATAGCCTTGTTGCACCACTCTCTCCCCTCACACAGCCTCTTGACAGTTGGAGTTCCAACTCCTGTTCACCCAGGTGCTCTACACAACATCCCTGTCTCAAGAAACGGACAGGTGGAATCGATGCCTGCTAAACGAATATTTACACAGTACAGAACAGTACTGGAAGTGACCCAGCTAGCAAGCACTTATCAGACCACAGGTGGCTGAGGCAGCACACCATGGTAGGCAAACTGATATCGGACCCTGGTCAGCAAACAGACGATGTGGACCTATGCTGAGCCTCTGATTTTGCTGATGGAGGACCGATGTCGATCATAGGTCACAGTAAGCTTGCTATCAGGCGTGTGTCTGTGGCTAGCCACTGGTTCTGTGTGAGGACTGTGGGTTGAAAGTCGGTGAGCTACTACCCACCTGTTGGTCCAGTGTTGTTGAGGCACTCCTCCATCCTTCCCAGCAGCCTGCAGGGCGGCCACGTTCCCCGGGGGGTTGGAGGAGCCAGAAGAACCCTGGGATGGAGAGTAGTCCGAGTAGGTGGCTGACGAGCCACTGTTGTTCAGGCAATGCATCTTATCTGGGTCTGATTCATCTGTAGACTCTGACAGGGAAGGACGAGAGAAAAGCATTGATATGTCTCTGATGTCATCTACCTGTGAAATGAATTTGAATAAGGGCTTAAGGAGATATCTTATTTTCAAAAGGTCACTGCTCATGTTTACCACTTGAAATGTGGGTTAAAGCTGGGTCACCAGGGGAGCAAAAGCTACTGGAGAGAATTGGATGCTTCTCTCCTCAATCCAACAGCGAGTCATTTTGTAAGTATTGCAATTAACATGGGTGATCCACGTAGCGGGAGCAAAAAATATTTTTGGTATCTCCGATTTTTCTGGCAATTCTCACATAGGTACTTCATTGGGAGGAAGGATGTTTAACATGCTTTTTATATTTGTATCACAAACCATGTTTTTTTAAATCATGATGAAATGGAACATTTCAGGCCCTTTTTAGACCTATACATGCCTCCTGTAAGACCTTATGATCCGTGAACTGTACATGATACAGAACACATACAGTGAGGGAAAAAAGTATTTGATCCCCTGCTGATTTTGTACGTTTGCCCACTGACAAAGACATTATCAGTCTATAATTTGAATGGTAGGTTTATTTGAACAGTGAGAGACAGAATAACAACAACAAAATCCAGAGAAACGCATGTCAAAAATGTTATAAATTGATTTGCATTTTAATGAGGGAAATAAGTATTTGACCCCCTCTCAATCAGAAAGATTTATGGCTCCCAGGTGTCTCTTAAAGGGAGTGCTCCTAATCTCAGCTTGTTACCTGTATAAAAGACACCTGTCCACAGAAGCAATCAATCAATCAGATTCCAAACTCTCCACCATGGCCAAGACCAAAGAGCACTCCAAGGATGTCAGGGACAAGATTGTAGACCTACACAAGGCTGGAATGGGCTACAAGACCATCGCCAAGCAGCTTGGTGAGAAGGTGACAACAGTTGGTGCGATTATTCGCAAATGGAAGAAACACAAAAGAACTGTCAATCTCCCTCGGCCTGGGGCTCCATGCAAGATCTCACCTCGTGGAGTTGCAATGATCATGAGAATGGTGAGGAATCAGCCCAGAACTACACGGGAGGATCTTGTCAATGATCTCAAGGCAGCTGGGACCATAGTCACCAAGAAAACAATTCGTCAAAAAATGGGAGGTGGCAACATTTGCTTTGGGGTGTTTTCTGCTAAGGGGGGAAGGGACAACTTCACCGCATCAAAGGGATGATGGAACGGGGGACATGTACACATCAATCTTGGTTGAGAATCTCCCTTCCTCAGCCAGGGCATTGAAAAATGGGTATGGATGGGATTCCAGCATGACAATGACCCAAAACACAGGCAAGGCCACAAAGGAGTGCTCAAGAAGACCACATTAAGGTCTTTTTAATGGAGTGGCCTAGCCAGTCTCCAGACCTTAATCCCATTGAAAATCTGTGGAGGGAGCTGAAGGTTCGAGTTGCCAAACGTCAGCCTCGAAACCTTAATGACTTGGAGAAGATCTGCAAAGAGGAGTGGCACAAAATCCCTCCTGAGATGTGTGCAAACCTGGTGCCCAACTACATTATTATTATTATTATTATTATTATTATTATTATTATTATTACAAGAAACGTCTGACCTCTGTGATTGCCAACAAGGGTTTTGCCACCATGTACTAAGTCATGTTTTGCAGAGGGGTCAAATACTTATTTCCCTCATTAAAATGCAAATCAATTTATAATATTTTTGACATGCGTTTTTCTGGATTTTTTTGTTGTTATTCTGTCTCTCACGGTTCAAATAAACCTACCATTAAAATTATAGACTGATCATGTCTTTGTCAGTGGGCAAACGTACAAAATCAGCAGGGGATCCACATTTTCACGTTTATTTATTCAATATGAAAAATATTAATATCTCATGTCACATTTCCAGAGTGGGCTCTCTGGTACCTTTAATGATTTTACCCATTTTATACATAGAAATTGACATTATAGGTCAGTAACCAATCACAGCCCTCCTTTAGGATTGCACATTCAGCAAGTCACCAGCAGAGGGAGTTCCCATTGAATCCATTTTCCCATTCACTGTGTTTGTGGTGCTCATAAAAGGTATCATACCTTCAGAATTAGCAGAGAGCCCACTCTGGAAATGTGATGTACTTGTAGAGTATATTGTTCCAAACAATATGTCTTAAAATGAACAAAATCAAAAAGGGTAGTAGATATTAATATTTGTAATGTTGAATAAATGAATGTGAACATTTGTATTTCAGAATCTAGACATACTCCATATGTTAGAACACACTATAAGGAGTGTAATGACACCAATATGTTGTATGTATCATGTACAGTTCACGGATCATAAGGTCTTACAGGAGGCACGTATAGGTCTAAAAAGGGCCTGAAATGTTCAATTTCATCATGATTTTCAAAAACATGGTTTGTGATACAAATGTAAAAAGCATGTTAAACATCCTTAATCCACAATTCAGTTTCTATGTGAGAATTGCCAGAACAATCTGAGGTACCAAAAATATTTTCCGCTCCCGCTGGTATGGAATCGCCCTTATGCTTTATACCATACCTAATTAGGATACAACACTCCCCAAGGACATTATATAATAATTGTGCATTGCAGGACTATGTTTTGTAATCTCACAGGAGGAAACGCATATGCAATTAGAAATAACAATAGCAAACACAGGGATTTTCACTGTAGAGTTTAGAAAGCTTGAGGCTTTTTCATGTCAGAACAGGATAAGAGCGGAGAGTGAGTGTTTTTACTGATAGCGGGTCAGCCTCCCACCGATTGAGATATCAGCACAAATGGCCTGCAGCAACTAGTCAATCAGCTTACTCTCTGGTTTATCAGAGTAGGAGAAAAAACCAGTTTGAAAGTATGGTCTCAAGATATATACGGTGGGGTCACCCTTGATAAAGATGAGCAATAATGACTATAAAATACATTTAAAACATTGGGAAATTATATTATTTTATACTAATACAATTGTTCAGAGAAAGAGATTTTGTTTAACAAGTAATCATTGTTTTTCTCAAAAAGGTAGGGGTAAAAACTATTGACACCCCTAAAGATTCGTATAAATAAAGTAGTAAAAAGTTTAGTATTTGGTCCCATGTTCTTAGCACGCAATGACTACATCAAGATTGTGACTCTACAAACTTGTTGGATGCATTTTCAGTTCGTTTTGGTTGTGTTTCAGATTGTTTTGTGCCCAATAGAAATGAACGGTAAATAATGTATTGTGTCTTTTTGGAGTCACTTTTATTAGAAATAATAATATAATATATTTCTAAACACTACATTAATGTGGATGCTACCATTATTACGGATAATCCTGAATGAATCGTGAATAACAATGAGTGAGAAAGTTACAGAGGGTCAAAGATTATACCCCCAAGACATGCTAACCTCTCACCATTTCCAATAACAGGGGAGGTTAGCATGTCTTGGGGGCATGATCTTTGACCTCTAACATCACTAATAGGCTAATTTATAGCATTTTTATATAACCTTAATGATAATGGTTGTGTTTGTACTGAAGTAGAATACCAGATTTGGGAGTTTAGGGCCTACCTTTCTTGTCTTTCCCCAGTAATACAACCTTTGGTTTGTACATGGGCGGTTCCACCAGGGTGGGCCTCATATCAGAGATACGGATATCATTCGGAGAGCCGCTCATAGAATCCTGAGAAAAAGATAATGTGTTATTACACATAGTTATTTCTGAACAAAAGACAAAAAGACAGAAACACATACACAGCTTGGTTAACAGCTTCAACGACTTAACTCCACAAGCTCAGTGAGGTTCCTGAGGCAGGAACTAACAAAAGGACACAAATATAGTACATAACTGATCGTTTTTGTACTGCTTGTACTGATAGTGTCATCAGAACTGATATACTTTCTCTATTTCTTAGTGATGTGTAACCCACTGGAGCATGTTCTATCTGTGACTTCCTGCTCTCTTAGGGCTCAGAGGCCCAGCTGCCTGTTACAGGAGAGCCTACTTCCCACACCTGATGTCCCACATCTGCAGCCCTGCTCTGCTCACTGCACCCACACAGGGCAGGCTGAGGCAGCCGAGCGGAGAGAGACCACCAGGCCTGCTTGCCTGGCAACTCCTGGAACCACATCCCAGGAACACTTACTACACAGCAGTGGCTCACCGGCATATCTGTATCTCCCTCCAGCTTCTTTTTCTCTTATGTAAAAAAGACATTGCAATATTTCCAATACTTCTGCGCTATATGTTTCAAAACATATCATTTAATGTCTATAAATACAATCCATATCCATGATGGGGCTACTATGAGGGTTTAGCATGTTCAGTGCAGGAGTTAAATGACACGCAATGACAGCTGCAACCGCTTTCTGCTTTGGGTAAAAATGCCACCTTAAATCACTCCCAAGGTTATCAGCACCTTCTCTGTGGCTGGGAGTAATTGGTATGGCAGGCTTGATGCTTTGGCCACGTCTCAGAGGAATGCTTGATTAACTCAAAACAAACAGCTGTGAAGAGACTGTAGTGTGTGATGCCACTAAGTGCTGGAGTTAGCTTTGGCACTGCCAGTCTACTGCCCGTTTGCACACTACTGTGTATACTATATATGCTATGATGCACAGACTTTGCATACAAAATGTTCCTCTTCATAAGTACTGTACATGATATACATTACATATCTACAGTTTACATTGTTCATTCATCTTTGCAATAGAGAGTGTGGCTGTTATCAGCTTTCATCTTCATATTTCATGACACTCAGACTTTGTTTCTCCAGATGTTTTATAGTCTTTGTCAGCGTGCAAAGAGGCAGTGTGAAGTCACGCCAGCCGAGCCGTGGTTGAGCAGACTGTCTAATGTCTGATCTCACAGCCACTTACTATGAGGCAGAAACAGGAAGAAGCTGTAATGGCCGAGGACGTATTCTCTGGCTGTGGCAGCTTGGGAACCACGCGATGTAAAGAAATCTAAGCAAAACAAACAAACAAATAAAAGATGGAGAGGAAGTTTTCATGGTTCTACAAAAGAAAGCATGTGTGCGGTAAAGAAGCATGGTTTATGGCATCAGCACCCACACCCCTCCATCCCCCCACCCAGTGCCCCAGTTCTCATTGCGTCACCGCGGCACCCAAGGGTCTCTCTCTCCCTGGGGCTTTATGGGAGGAGACAGCATGAGGCAATCCAAAGCAGTAATGAACACAAAGTACACAGGACATTGCAGCTCTGTCAACGCACTTCACAGAGAGGTAGAGATATAGCAGAGTTTGCCAAGCACAGGAGGACCTTCCAGCTTAAATGAAAATAAGTGGTTGCTACCTGACACCTTGGAAGTTGGAGCCTACTTCTACTGGAAAAGGGATTCTAGATGTATTTTCATCTTACAGGTTAAAATAAAAACTAATCTACATCTCATCTTAACTTAAATCTATGCAATGTTAAAAGGACTAACAACCAGCACGAGAGCATTTACAACCCTGATGTAAATGGCCCAAACTCTGGGCTCCTATAGAGCTTACAAATAAATGCCAGTAAGAAGATACAAGATACATATTGTATGATCTGCTTTATTCATCTCCAGATGCTGACCACTTGACTCTGGGAACAGGCGCTTAGAAATCACCTATTCAGATCTAGCCTCTTGGAGTCCTCTGAATGCAATTGACATTTAACACTGACCTTTGCTCTGTTTGTTCAACAGCCTCTGCTGTTCGTTGTGCAGTATTTCAAGCCTTATTACAGGCTACAAATTCAGCGCCAGGTTGCCCCCTGGGGACTTGCAAATGCACTAATACTTGACATTAGAGTTATGGCCGAGTTAACCTCCATTTCAGCCACAATATGTTATTATGCCAAGATAATGCACCTTTTTGCACACAGCATAAAAAACACTGAAAACAGCATCTCAGCAGACTACTTGTCTGACACTGACTCCTCTGCGTATTCAGAGAGAGAGCTAACGATTGAACAAAGACCCCATTGACGCCATCATGGGGGCTTTGAGGCTTCCAGATGAAAGGGTCCTATGATCTCTGCAGGTTTCAATCACATCACCTCTAAAAAGCTGCTGCGCCACAGTCCCATGGCCCTGGGTTTAATACATTGCCCTCTCAAACTTTGTCACACCTGGCCATAAGTCAAAAACACTGAAACCTGATACAACATTCATCTATGCCTTTGAAAATGACCCCAGTTCTTTTAATGAAATTCAGTTCAATACAGCTGGTCTCACCTCTACCTGAACTCTCACATTGAGATGTCCAAGGCAATTGAGGACTAAATCTGACATAACGGCCTGAGAGGACCTTGAGGCTGCAGTGTAAACATTCATGTCGTTCCTCCCTCCCCCACCGTGCCCAATACAAGCTGTTGTTTTGTTTTGTTTTCCTGGTGTTACAAGAGTGTAATAAGCACTACAAACTTTTTAACATGTCCACAAAGAGATCACGAATTTGCTCCTGTACCTCTGAGCTCTCAGTCAGATCATCCTTGCGCTTTGGGATGTCGATGGCAGAATTGTGGATGATGCCCTGCTCTGTCATCTGAGCCTTGTTGAACTCTCTTTCTCTCTCTTTCATCTCTCTTTCCATCACCTGGAACAGAAGATCACTCTGAGTGACTGGGTGACACATATCTATCCCATTCAGCCAAAGAGGACTATGTATAACCTATGCATTTGTTTTTGTATATGTGTGTGTGAGAGAGAGTATGGTGGTATATGTAAGTCTCTGGGTGTGTGGTGTGACCTGGTCTGTTACCTCTTTGGGGGGCATGGGCCAGGGAGGCTCATACTGTTCTTGTTTTCGTGACTCCATGTTGGTACCAGAGGAGTTAGTACCAGTGCTGAGGGGATGCTGGTTCTTGCCCACCATGTTCTGCACTGACTTCACCATGTTCTTTAGGTCCTCTGGGTACGGTGTGGGGTAGCGCTTCAGATTGATCTCAACCTGGGAAGACAGGACGAGCAAAATGAGCGGTAATAAAATCAAATCATAAAAACGGGGGAAACTGAGGTCAACAGGAAGTCCTGTGAAACCTTGACTTTTCCAGAGTTGTCCTCCTCCTCCTTCTTCTCCTCGAACTCAAAGGCTACGGTCATCCTCTGCTGACGCTGCTCCTCCCATAAGGCGGGGTTGAAACTGTCACTGTCTGACTGGTAGTCTACAGAGAGGACGGGCAGAGAAACAGGGAGGTGTCACTGACTTATTGTGCACTGGTCTCACACTGGTGCTGTTCTGACATGCTCACTTCACCACCAGCATACAGTGCACTGGCACCTAACCTAACCATCTGTCAAACTCCCTCAAGTGGAACCTCAAAATGGATTCAATCCCTGAGTAAATGTACACCTTAAGTCTATCTGACCCTCAAAGGGTAGTTCAGTGACACATGCTCTGCACACATATCACTATACCCATTACTATGAGGGATAACAGTGTTATTTCAAGCACCATTAATCAATTGTGAATACATATCCATGGCACCTTAGTGATCACATATTCATAGAACTGCAACATCCACTTTGTGGGAATACTTGGCTATGAGGATTTTCCCTCATGTCAGCATGTGTTACATTTCCACCCACAGTATTTGGCTAGCTCACCCTCATCATGTCGTGGTTGCTGAGGGAACATGTAGTTGGTGAGGACCCTCTGCTTGGTCTCTGGATGGGCCTCTGTCTGGAGGGGGATCAGGGCCTTGGACTGCATACAGCAGACATTCACACATCATTAACGCTTCAAGTATAGCTAATACACAGGTAAAACAATAGAATCGATCCGAAAATGTAAAGGTGTGATTTTTTCCAACAAAAGAACATAAACGATCATGTTTACCTGATTGTCTGATAGCCAAAGAGCAGCAAGATCTTTTAGTTTGGTGAAAGTGAATGGGAGATTCTTTAATCTGTGTAAGGGAGAAGAAGACGAAATGTGGAGTAAGAAGGCATATCATCTCAATGAGTACATTGTGTTCTGATGTGTTCAAGGACACAGATCATCATTAAGTCCCCTGTGAAAAGCCAATAGTATTCCTCTGCCACGGAACAATCACAGCCTGCCTGCCTCTGACTGACTGACTGACTGACTGACACCCACCACTCACCTTGGCAACAAGCTCAGCAAACTTTGCCTCACTTTGACAACAGAAATCTGTCAGAGGGAGACAGTGTTGTGGGCTACTGTAGGTAGAACGATGCAGGGTTGAGGTGATTCGATGCCCGTTCTCAGGTAGCCTATCTGGTTGTGTGCTCAGCTCTGTGGTGTGTGGTGCTGCGTGTGGAGGCAGATCTGCCTAATGGCTGTCATGTGTTAAGTGATGGTCAGGTTTAATTACCTTGGATCCAGTTAATCACTGGCAGAACCACCAAACATCTCATAAAGAGCTTTCTTAATTAGCCCGTGGGCAGAGGAAGTGCTTTCTAATGCTGTGCAGCTATCTTAATGTGCTATTAACAAAATAATAACCACTAGCTAGCCTCCCTAGTTTATATAAAATCCTCAGAAGAATGCCCCACTCCACCTACGCTCTATGTAAACATATAGACACACAACACAAGCCTTTTCCTCGTCAATGCGAGTGTGAGGAACATATGGATTCACTGTGTGTGTGTGTGTTTCTGTGTGTGTGTTTCTGTGTGTTAGAGTGTGCTATGTATACATAGCAGAGCAATCAGTAGCTACCTATTGTCGCTTAAGTTGAGAACACGTAGCTTGGTCATCTGCCCAATCTCATCAGGTAGAAACTCTAGTTTATTGGAGCGCAACGACATGACTGTCACATTCTTACAGTTCCCAATCTGCAACAAAAGAGAGGCAAGCGGACATTTCAGTGATCATTTTCCATCTTCTATGCAGCAAACCATATCAATTACCAGTGCTGGGGAAGCTACTATGAAAATATAGTTTGCCAAGCTACATCCAAACTACTTTGTGATAAATTATGATATCTAAATCTGAAATGCCATCGACTACATATTGCAAGAACAGATCACTCTGAAGTCAGATGTTAGCAGAATGTGTGATTTAGCGTATTAAAAGTTTCAAGTGAGAATTAGGCAGAAAGGAAATGCTTGCCTACTACACCTATTTTTTCTTTTGCAAAAAAAGTAGTGTGTAGTTGCAGTAGTTAGCTATACCGCTACATGACAAAAAAGTAATTAACTACTAAAAACACTACCAGAATTGAGTTAAACTGCCATCAAGCTACTGCAAAATGTAGTTACATTACTAGTTGAACTACATGTAGTTCACTACTCCCCAACACTGTCAATTACACAACCAAATGCATTGTGTATGTGTTTGAGTGTACAGGAGCACTGTGAGGATATAGGGACAGACGGACGTACCTCCCTGGGTAGTTCAACAAGGAAGTTCTCATCAGCAGAAAACGTGCGAAGGTTGGGCAGGTAGCCAATGGTGGCGGGCAGGGACTCTAATTCATTACAGCTGCAGTCAAACTCCTCTAAAAGCGATAAACTGAGTAGAGGAAGAAAGAGGAGAATGAGTCCTGTAAGAATCCTTCATGCCACAGCTACTTTCACTTGGTTAGTTATTAGTGTAACATCACCATGTGTAAAGGCGCTATAACCAAAACTCTATCTATAAAAAATACAAGCAAAACAACCACAAATCAGCATAGATTTTCTACTACACATGTCTTTGATGTACCATATTAATATGTGCATATCATTTCGTCAAGAACCTGCGAAGCGCAGACCTACTTAATTCGTATGCTAAAAATGGGCTGTGAATTCTTGAAGTGGAACATTTACATGTACATATATCATAATGATACAAGCATTATTTCACTCAAACATTTTGAGGAAAAGCCACAGGTAGATTCATTTCAGCCGCAGGTTGCATTATTTGTTATTGACTGTATTTGTTGTTGACAGATGCAGCCTCAGATGATCGATCCCTCCTTGGTGTAGAGACATTAATGGAAACAAATCATAATTGGGTTCCCTATAAGAGTAGATCCATCTAAGACATGTACAGACTACAGAAAAGTGAAATGATGAATCAAATGGATTCATGAGGATCATGGCAATATTCAAAAACCATGACTTGATAGAATGAGAGATTCTTATAGACAAACCATGAATTACATTGATTCAACTTTATTAATCCCATGAGGGAAAATGAATAGTTAATGTTGCTGACTCAATATCTGGTGGTGCCAGTATCTCTTTTCAATCAGATTATAATCAACAGTATGCTTTATACAAAATCTGGGAATATTAAATACTGAACTTCATGAATTACAAACTTAACTCTATATCTTATAATATATCTTAAACTCTAAAGCCACAGTGTTTATTGAGTCAAATGCCCTTGCCTCTTTGTCAGATTTGAAAGGACAACATGTGAGCAAAATCAACAACTGTCCAGTTTTAAAATGTCCTCTACAGCCTCAAACAATTCTAAATTCAAGCTCCAACAGTGTTTAGTGTACAATGTCAGTGTATATGTACAGAAGAGGACGAGGGGAAGAGTTGCCTCCCCACATGGGAAAGACTTCATTTAAGCAATATGGCCTGGGGGGGTGTGGTATATGGCCAGTATACCACAGCTAAGGGCTGTTCTTAAGCACGACTCAGTGTGGAGTGCCTGGATACAGCCCTTAGCCGTGGTATATTGGCTATATACCCCAAACCCTGAGGTGCCTTCTTGGTATTATAAACTGCTTACCAACGTAATTAGAACAGTAAACAAGTCATTTTGTGTCATACCACAGCTTTCAACCAATCAGAATTCGGCCAATCACCATTTACAATTGTATTTATTTATTGTACACACAGCAGAGTCATTAGCTCAACATTTGTCTGAGCAGGCTGGCCCAGCTGGCCTCCCATATGCAGGCCTTTTACTAGGTCTGCTTCCCTGGCCGGAACATACAGACAGGGGACATTAAGGTGAGCACTTGCCTGAATAAACATGCTGTGGCGAGGAGGAACGTGTACAGGAGACAGGGATTTACAGTCTACTTACCCTAATTTGGCGCGTCCACTAAGTGGCCCATTTTAGATGCATGTGAAATAACCACAACACACAAAACCGACCAATGACAAACCAAGAAAAAAGGTGTACAGGAAACAGTATCACAGGCTTGGGGAGCAGCAGTGGGGGTAGGGCATGATAAGGATGAACATGACATGATGAGCTGTAAGGTGGTGACCCTGACCTATGACGTCACAGTCTCAGTGACAGGGCGTCTTCAGACTTGACCCCCAGGAATGCTTCTGACTCATTCTAGTTTACAGATTAAACTGATATAATATATATATATAACAAACAAATCAACTTGGCTGGCTGTTGTGTTTGAGTTTGAGGTTACAATACTAGCAGAGGAAGCTTGTGATTTTCGACATTTTTACATCAGAGTCAAGTCCACTCAGACAGCCTCCATTTTAAATATTGCACAACAAATGAATGGCACACACCCAAAATGTCTCTTTCTCTCTCTCTCTCTCTCTCTCTCTCTCTCTCAGTGCCGCCAACTGAGACACAATGTACTACATCACTCTATACTTGGTGTGAACAGTGATGGAGCCAATCAGCGTTAGTCAATGTGAGGTGAGAAGCAGCAGCAAGGTGAAGGTGCCAGAATGAGACAGCAGAGTTTCAGAACCCTTCTATCCACAGGCCGTGTTGACTACAGCAACAAACCACTGGCAGAGAAGACGAGCTAAGATTAAGATTCAATGTGTCAACTGAATTTACCATCAAAATATGTGTCTCTGACAGCTTTTAATTTGGTTATGCAATAGATGTCTTAAAACGGACTAACATTCAGTTCAATGATAGATATGAACTAATAAACATGTAGTTTGTAGTTTAGCTTTTGGCGACATCAGTTCAAAACATTTTATTTGACTTAAGGGAAGTTCAGAGATTGCAATCTGAGTAGTGAAAGTAAACGAAATAGTGTAATCGGTCTCTTCTTCATAAAGTACTCACCTTCCAATGGTGTTAGGCAGTGACGTGAGTTGGTTGTCGTCGACTTTTAGTGTTGTAAGCTTCTTCAACATTCCTACAATGGAGACAAAAACATTACTCTAGTTTCACTGTTTATTTGATGTTATGTAATTTATTATTTAAAAAAAAGAACAAACACACTATGAGAAACAAAGTTAAAAGAGAAGAACACAGTTAAAAGGAATTTTTCAAACCCATTGTCTACATAATCCTCTTACTGGTTGATTAATTTACAGCCAGGAAATTATTTATAAACTTATTAAGTACAAAATAACTTAATAGTTTGTGCAAATCAAATTCCAGGATTCAAACAAACACATTTTTCTCTCTAAATAGGAATGGAATTTTAATGACGCCTATGATTGATAATGGCAAAACAACCTCCAAGAGGAGCCGCCATGATGAACGCAGTCATTACAGAATGAATCATCCTCTCTCGACCTTCTCTCCTAATCATCCTTTCTTCATCCTTTTTCTTATTCTTTCTTACCAGGAGATACTATTGTTCCAGAGGGGAGAGAGCAGAGACAATCTAACCAGGATATACTATTGTTCCAGAGGGGAGAGAGCAGAGACAATCTAACCAGGAGATACTATTGTTCCAGAGGGGAGAGAGCAGAGACAATCTAACCAGGAGATACTATTGTTCCACAGGGGAGAGAGCAGAGACAATCTAACCAGGAGATACTATTGTTCCACAGGGGAGAGAGCAGAGACAATCTTACCAGGAGATACTATTGTTCCACAGGAGAGAGAGCAGAGACAATCTAACCAGGAGATACTATTGTACACAGGGGAGAGAGCAGAGACAATCTTACCAGGAGATACTATTGTTCCAGAGGGGAGAGAGCAGAGACAATCTAACCAGGAGATACTATTGTTCCAGAGAGGAGAGAGCAGAGACAATCTAACCAGGAGATACCATTGTTCCAGAGGGGAGAGAGCAGAGACAATCTAAACAGGAGATACTATTGTTGCAGATGGGAGAGAGCAGAGCAGTTCTATGGCCTCACCTATGGTGTCAGGCAGATGCTGGAGCATGTTGGAAGAGAGCAGGAGGTCCTCCAGGCACTCACAGCCAGAGATGTCAGTGTCCAAGCTCTCAATCCTGTTTTTAGCAAGGTCCAGGTAGCGCAGCTGCCTCAGCTTCCCTATACACTTCAGCAGAAGGGGAGAGAGAGACATGAAGCGATGGATGTTAGAGGGGTGGAAGAGACAGAGAGAGAGAGAGAGAGAGAGAGAGAGAGAGAGAGAGAGAGAGAGAGAGAGAGAGAGAGAGAGAGAGAGAACGCTCTCTCCGGCTTGCCATTGTTCTAATGTGTGTTTGAGGGAACTGTCTTTCAAGAGTTTCCCTATGGTAGTGCATCACTACCCCCATGCACAGACTTCATCAAGGCCAATGACAAATGACACAATAACTGGATGTGGTAGTGAAGGGCTGTAGGCCTACCCCAGGTATCTTCTGCAGTGAGTTGTTGTCCATCCACAGCTCCTTTAGGTTATGGATCTGCTCCAGGACTTCAGGCTGAAACACCAAAGACACACAACATCATGTAGCTGTCTAGAACAACCAGCAGCAGGAGGGCTGTACAGTAGTAAATACCCCAGGAACTAGGGCAGAGACATAAGAAATCCCTGTCCACTTGGAGTAAGGGCAGGCTGAGGAGTGGCATGTAATTCATCATCATGGTAAAGGAAGTGGGGTTTTAACACCAATCAATATACAGTGCCTTGCAAAAGTATTCATCCCCCTTGGCGTTTTTCCTATTTTGTTGCATTACAACCTGAAATTTAAATTGATTTTTATTTGGATTTCATGTAATGGACATACACAAAATAGTCCAAATTGGTGAAGTGAAAAGAAAAAAATAACTTGTTTAAAAAAATTCAAAAAAATAGATTACGGAAAAGTGGTGCGTGCATATGTATTCACCTCCTTTGCTATGAAGCCCCTAAATAAGATCTGGTGCAACCAATTACCTTCAGAAGTCACATAATGAGTTAAATAAAGTCCACCTGTGTGCAATCTAAGTGTCACATGATCTCAGTATATATACACCTGTTCTGAAAGGCCCCAGAGTCTGCAACACCACTAAGCAAGGGGCACCACCAAGCAAGCGGCACCATGAAGACAAAGCTCTCCAAACAGGTCAGGGACAAAGTTGTGGAGAAGTACAGATCAGGGTTGGGTTATAAAAAAAAGATCAGGAACTTTGAACATCCCAAAGAGCACCATTAAATCCATTATTAAAAACTGGAAAGAATATAGCACCACAACAAACCTGCTAAGAGAGGGCTGCCCACCAAAACTCACGGACCAGGCAAGGAGGGCATTAATCAGAGAGGCAACAAATAGACCAAGGATAACCCTGAAGGGGCTGCAAAGCTCCACAGCGGAGATTGGAGTATCTGTCCATAGGACCACTTTAAGCCGTGCACTCCACAGAGCTGGGCTTTACGGAAGAGTGGCCAGAAAAAAGCCATTGCTTAAAGAAAGAATAGTTATGCACGCTCAAGTTTTCTGTTTTTCTGTCTTATTTCATGTTTGTTTCACAATAAAAAATATTTTGCATCTTCAAATTGGTAGGCATGTTGTGTAAATCAAATGATACAAACCCCCCAAAAATCCATTTTAATTCCAGGTTGTAAGACAACAAAATAGGAAAAATGCCAAGGGGGGTGAATACTTTTGCAAGCCACTATAAGAAGTGAATAATCTCATGCCACAACACCAATGGGGGTAATTACAAAACAAAGTATGCATGTCAATGATGGCATATGCACACCGAGTGGTGCAAAGTTACGATCCTCAGTCGCTCCTCCAGATGTATTCTAGAATCATCTCTCGTTCCGTATTCTATAATGGAAAAGGTGTGTTTGAATCTCTGCACGGGCCACAGAGTGGGGTAATGAATGAATGGAGCCCTTTGAGTGATTGTATTCGATACAGGCCTGTGTGGAGAGGCCTGGTCAGACTGTGTGTGTCTCTCTGGAGTAAAGGTTCTACCTGACTATGTGTAAATGACTCCATTAGGCCAGCCTGAGAGACTAAGTGACAGACCTCCCAGTCCTTCATGCTGCCCTAATCAATTCCAATCGCTCTCATCTCGGTGTTTCATGCATTTCTTTCCACAGCATGGTGTGGAGTCATTGGTGTGGCAGTCAATAAGGACTCCAAATGGTATTCTGGACTATTTTCTATTTAAACTATTTCTGATTATTATTTCTGAAAGCTTTGATCTCATAGTTGTGAGGGTAGCTACAGTATCTTGTGTGTTTTCTAAAAAGTAGTGATGTTTTATTAAGTTTGGCAAGGGCATTCGCCTAAAAAAATTGTATGTGCTTGGTTCAGTGACAGAATTTGTGACAGAAGTTGATAGAATCTCAGCATGGAAGCAGGCAAAACCCAACAACAACAAAAACAGGAGGTACACAACCACTTTCTCAAAAGTAATTGAAATTCCTATAGTATCAATTGAGACTTTACAACACAGCAATCTACATCAGACTGATGCAATGCATATTCTATTAACTACTGAACCAAAAATATAGAGAAAACTTCAAACCAAAAGAACAAATGAAGTTTCCGTCCCACCAAGGGTATAAAGTAGGTCAACTGGCATTGGGTAATGGAAGCGGTGCTAAAAACGTCCCATGTAGTTGCTGTGTCCCCTACCTGTCCTTTACCCTCCCAAAACATCACACACAATCTCCAAATCCCTCATTAAACTCTTGGGAGTGTTGTGTGTAGTATGACTCATTAATCCATAGCTCTCAATATACAGTAGAGCTGGAGTCAGTACAGTAGCACCACACTATTTTACTTGTAAGTTAAGCTTTAACGAGAAACAAAGAGAAGGGTTGGCACGGTGGACTGTGTTGGCACCTCTACCATGCCTCCTGTTCTCTCCGGATGGAGATTAAACACTTGGATGGTGCTCAGTGCAGTGGAGCTTCCTGTGCAGAGGCATGTCCTCTTGTCTGTCTTTGAAGCTCTGCGATGTCATTTCCTCTCTGCTGATGACATCCTCTGCTCTGCTCTACCCCGGCCCTCTGAGCACCGGCATCTGCGTCCCCCCTCCTCCCTCTTCCCTTTCTCCAGGCAGGGACTTTAATTAGGAAACTTTCCTCACTTTCTGCCTCTGTGACACACACGACTCAGCATCTGCTCTTGGCTCAGCTGGGCCCACATGTGCTGAGGTCATTGTTTGGTTTCGTCACATGACAATGCCTCTGAAGTTGCATTTTTCTGTAGTTCTGTCAGTGGCAGACATTTTCACATCTGCATCTTCTGCATGTGTTTAGCCTAGAGCAAGAAGGGCAATGTTTTCAGTCTCATTCATAGCAATGAGCTGCTTGTGCTGAATGCACATAAGGTGCATAAGGTCTTCTGAATCCTGGTCTTATACATGTAAATGTTTGCAGTTTAGTAAAACCGAGTATGAACATACAGTATCTCAGCTGAAGACTGATTGCCACTAAAATAAGGCATGAGTTGAAATCAGTTGGAGAGAGCTTTCATAGAGCCTCTGGTTCAGCCAGCCTGTTAGAAGCTCTGATGACTCTGAATTACATTCCAGAGCTCAGGTCAATTAAGGGGAAAAGGTATCTGCCTCCACAAAGAAATACCAGTAAACCAGGATGGAATTCTGGAAAAAGTCCATGAATTCTCAGTGCTGAAAAACACTGATAGAATAATTTAACATTCACCACAGAAACCATCAGCTGAAGAAAATGCAATAGGCATGTTTGCACAAAGTCTGGGGCAGATGAGGAAGCAACAACAGCTTAAGGAATGAGAGAAAATGCATTGTATTTTCCCAGGGCTTCAAAATCACCAGGCAATAAAGCTAGACAACAGGATTCTATTTGAGGGGAATTGAGATGCAATTGGCTATGTCGCTCACACTATCAGCAAAAAGCAACAGGAGTCCTTGAATGGGGATGGGATAGTGGATGAGAGAGGTCATAAGTTGAGGGAGAAAGGCTTGTATTTAAGTAGGACACACAGATTGGGAGTTCAGACTATAGCACCAGGAAGAGTCGATGGGCGCTCCCTCTCTCTGCAGTAACTTGGGGGCTTCATACAGCAAAGCATGCTTATAACAATGTCAAACCATCTGCTCCCTTGGAACGGGCCGTGCAAATGATGCCTTTTCCTCACTACCCAAGGACAAAGTCCTGGAAATACTAAACGTACATCAGACGTGACAGAAAGTATAGACCAGGGGTTCCCAAACTTTTTTGGACCGCGACCCCATTTTGAGATAAAATATTTTCCGCCACCCCACCATGTAAACAAAGTCATGTAATCAATGGCCAATGTTTACTTTTTTAATTGGGTTTATGACAGTCTATTACAAATCAGTCTGACAGTACTTTTGACAGTATTTCAATCTGAAGGAAGTATGGTTTGAAGTGACTGAAATGCCTCAGAAAGGTAATGGGAAGTTCAGAAGACCATCAGGTAATAATTTTGTATGATCTTGATGTTCTTTTTCCCCCAGTCTGATTTAGTGCCTGGTCTTGTCCACTCTGTTCTAATGAGTCCTGCGCAGCTTGTGGGCATTGTAGGGAAACAGAAGACACATACATGTTCCTTAGAGTCTTTCAGTGATGGGGTCATAATATGATGTAGTTTAAACCGTTCAAAAGATAGAGCCATTTGTAGGAGGAAAACAGAAACCGCTCTGTTTAATACAATTTCATTTCAGAGTTTCTCTCACGACCCCATATTCAAATAAGGTGACCCCACATGGGGTTGCGGCCCCTAGTTTGGGAAACGCTGGTATAGACCTACAACCAATTCCATACAGAAAAATGCCCTTATGTTTAAAATGTGATGGTTGGGAAACACAGGAGTCATTCTGAGATGAGTTTGTGTGCCTGTTTATCTTGACCTTGAGTGAGGAGGAGGCAGGTGCTGCTGTATGCATAGTGAGTGTGTTCCAGTGCCACAGTGAGTCACAGAGGGATCTGTGGAGGCAGACCAGCTCATACTAACACCAAGCCAGCCCTCATACTAACACCAAGCCAGCCCTCATACTAACACCAAGCCAGCCCTCATACTAACACCAAGCCAGCCCTTATACTAACACCAAGTCAGCCCTCATACTAACACCAAGCCAGCCCTCCTACTAACACCAAGCCAGCCCTCATACTAACACCAAGCCAGCCCTCATACTAACACCAAGCCAGCCCTCATACTAACACCAAGCCAGCCCTCATACTAACACCAAGCCAGCCCTCATACTAACAGCACATTTAGACATGCACAATTAAGGCATCAGTGGGACCTGTGGCACAGAGCATGTCATGTATGGCTTCACCCAGCAGCTCTCCCAGGGCTCCCCAGTCCCCAGCCCCAGCACAGTGTGTGATCATGCTAACCAAGGATGACTTAGCATCCTCCCTCCCTCCTTGAGCATTCTGCATCAAACACACTTCATATTGCCTCATTTTAGATATCACATGGATTGTTAGTCAATAATCATGCATCATTTTAAACTAACCTCACAGTACCTCTCTAGTGTACCAGCCATTTCCCATGTTACACTTGCACGCATTCACGCACACACAAACGCCTGCCTGCCTGCCCGCCTGCCCGCACACACATACACACACATACACACACATACACACACAGCGGGCGGAGGGAGCAGTGCTGGAGACGTAATGAGGGTGCAGAGCAGAGCGAGGGGGCCCCGGCTCTGGCTGGTCTCCCAGGTCTGCTGGGTCATGGCTGCCTGTGTGGTGACAGCTGCTGTCCATGTGACTGGCGTCTTCAAATGGCCTCTTTTCTTACCAGTTCAGTGAATTCATTGCTTCCCAAGTCTAATCTCTCCAGCTGTGACAGTCTGTGTATTGACCTGCAGCAAACAAGAGGGAAGAGCCTCAGATTCTGGCATAGAAACAAAGTCACCATTTAGAAAGGCCAATCACCAGCCAAACTCCCTCCCAAACAGGCCTCCTGCAACTCTGCCATCGCAGAGGGGATGGCGTGCTAGCCAGACATCCCCACACATTCACATAATATTCACTACAAATATAAATAGCTAAAATCACAACAATGCAGTTAGTTAATGATTAATATAACATGAAATGGCTTTCTCCATTGCACCATGTAACACCTAAAAGTAAACTCTTTCATCCATGTCTTGTGTACACAATGTCAGCCGGAGAGAGCAATGTCAGAATGAATACATCTAAGATGTATTGCACATCATTACTGGTTGTATTGGCTTGAGATTGCAGAGGACCTTTGTCTTGAGTGGTGAGTGTTGAGTAAAATCACTAAAGCAGATACTCTGCCATGTATGTTTTATGTCATGATATACAGCAGCTGGGCCATATAGCAATTAGTCCATTTCAATTATGATGTGAGAACTAACAGATCAGATTCGTCATTGCAGAATATCTCCCCAACTTTGATTACATATTAAAATCCTATTTGTAATCTATACCCTTGCTCTAGGATACACTTTCCCTCCAATGACTCCACGATAACGTGATAAACTCATTAACTGAATGAGGACATTACACTCATCTTCAAGGGGAAACATGTTTGAGTTGGTTTACGCAGATGAACAAACATCCCTTGCTGTGCCAAATTAGAGGTGACAGAGGATGAGTGTACTTCATTGGTCTCTAGTGTGAGGGATGGGGGATAGGGTTATTGTTATGGTGGGATAAAAATAGTTTTCAATCAGGACACCTGAGTGAGCGAGCATGCACCAACTAATGTGTGTGTGTCTGTCTCTGGGGCTCGCAGCGCAACACTCTCTCCACTATGATAAATTGCAACATCATTGGTTGCGCTCCACTAGCTACACACACCGGTAAACACACGCTCCAACATGGGGCCTTCTTCACATTTCATTTAGACATCAAATAACAAGGCCTGAGCAACAGGGACTGGCCACAGCACAGCACAGCACCCCTCCTCTGACACATGCTACCCGTCGCAGAGAGAGAGACTGATGGCATTTGCTTTAGAAGCTGCTATTTACCATGCTCTCACTCTAATCTGCCCATTAGAATTCCATCTCGGAATGTTACTCAGGCTATTTGGCCTCCAGAGTGTGGTGCAGGGGGAATGGTAAAACCTAAGCCTGCCGTACGGACTAGTATCTTGGGCAGGGTTGGATTATTCATTGGGACTTAATGGGTATGCTGGCTGCTAAAGCTGTCAGGGCTTCCATTAACATCCACTTTTCATGGCTACTTCAGTAGCCCCTCCATTGGAGAGAGGGGACAGACCTGAGGTGGGTAGGCTGTGGGTAGGCTGGATGGAGTGGGATGGGATGAGGGATATCATTTATTTTAAGTGCTTGGGGAAAACACTGAGACGTTGCAATAAAATACTCTCTACTAACATGTGGATAGATAACACTCAAATAATGTTACAAATTGTAGTTCTCTCTATTTGTAGGAATCAGTGATATTGGCTGCAAGTTATCCATGTAGTTCAGTGAAAATGATGTTGGCAAAGAGTTTAGTTTGAGCTTGGGATGTCTTTTACTGTACCCTTTCCTTTCCATCCCATGATCAAACATGTCTGTAGCTAATTCTAGCTGCCCTGGTAAGGTGAGGTGAGGTGAGGAGAGGTCTCTGTGTGGTGAGTCACTCACTTTGGCATCGTTTTCAGGTGGTTCTCTCGCAGTTCCAGGATCCGTAACTTCGAAAGTCTGAAAGGTAGAAGATGTCAAAAACACATGCAACCACAACAAGACAAACAAAACAAATTATAGAGAGGGTATATTCCTGGAAACTTTTGAAGTTTACCAGTAAACTACCAGAATTTTCGTCTTTCAAGGATTTTATGTAATCTATCACAAGGTGTCTGTAATAATCTGTGGCACTCTGTATTGGCTTTATCACATGTAAAATATATGAATAAGATTATACATTTTTTTGGGGGGGGATGACAAAGCTATAAATCCTAAATAAAAACCATCAACTTATTGAATACCATTGGTGTTTAATATGAGGGTTTCAGCATGAAATATCCTTTATATATATATATATATATTTTTTTTTACAAACTTTTATTTCAATATGTATTTGTTGTCAATGTTTTGGTGTCAAACTGGTGGTAGCTTTGAAAAAAGTCCATAGTTGGAAGAGTTGCAGAGTTAATTGAAAATAATGCCATTGTTGATTAGATGCTTTTTCATTAATTATTATATTTTCTCTTGAACCTTATGGTCTATCTACTAGAAACTCATGGACAATATAGACATATATATAATAAATGCATACTATATATGAATATATATTTTTTTTTACAGTTTTCCAAGTAGAAATGACCAAAGTTACGATAGATTGCCATAGATGTTCTGTTAATTACCAAAATTACTGAAGATTCCGGTAACTTTAGTAAATGATCAGTAACTTTGCAACCCTAATATTAATAGATGTTAATGATATACATAGGACTGTAAAGTATTGGATAAGAAAACATGACACCCCAACCTTAAATTCCATTACACTGAGCCCAAGAGCAATACCACTGCTGTTTTGATGAATTGTTAATTTTTCTCAATTCATCACCAAACCAGATAGGAAATGCTGCTAAACCCATTGCTTTATTAATGCAAGCCCCCAGGCAAGTGATGTTTACCAGGCGTTGTGTGCAGAGAATAAAGAACAGTCTGTTTACAGTGTAAACCCACCCAGGCATACTTGTAACTGAGCGCAGAATAAAAGCTCCAATCCAAACCCTATCCATACACAGAGGAGGGCCCCTCCTTCTGTAGTAGAGGGCCACAAGACCCACAGTCCCAGAACAGGGGACTCCATAAGCTGAACTCACCTCCCAAAGTTGGCGGGGAGGTACTCCAGAAAGGCGTCGTTTAAGAAGAGCTGTGTCAGGTTGAGGAGCTGGGTGAAGCCGTCTGGGAGCCTGCAGTGGAGAGATTGAAAATGAGAGAGGGAAGGGAAGAGAGAGAAAGAGAAAGGTAGAAAGAAAGAGAGAGCAGGTTCCTGTTAGTTGGTGCCAGGCTACAGGATTTACAGAGGCTAAGGACCTCAGACACATTTAAAGTCAAGCTAAATGTTAGCCCGCCCCATTCCCATGACAACTCCCCTGAACCAGCTCCACTCAGCGCTGTCAGAGGAGCTAGCACACTACAGCACTACAGAAAGACTCATACTCATACCTTGGTTCCCCAAGGTTCGATACTCTGCCCACTACTGTTTACAATCTACATAAATAACAGAGGAGCTAGCACACTACAGCACTACAGAATGACTCATACTCATACCTTGGTTCCCCAAGGTTCGATACTCTGCCCACTACTGTTTACAATCTACATAAATAACATTGGTAATGCTGTAACAAAATGCAGATGATACAGTGTTGTATTCCATTGCTCCATCGGTTAGCCAAGCCTTTTCACATTTGAAGTCAGATTTTCTACAGAGGTCACTATTTGATCTAAAGTTTTTCTAAATGCAAACAAAACGCATGCTTTTTCTAGGTCCCATAACCTAGATTTAAATGAATTTGTAATGACTAGTTTGAACGGTACACAAATTGAGCGAGTTCCTTTCTACAAATATCTTGGTATCTGGCTTGGTGACAAACTGTCATTTAAAAAACATGTCACTGAGCTGGTGAAGAAGTTGAAGTTCAAGGTTGGTTTATTTTACAGAAACAAAGCATGTCTGATTTTTGTTAATAGGAAGGAAATTGTCCAGGCCATTTGTATGTCTATTTTAGATTATGGGGATATTATCTATATGGATGCAGCAGCATCTACACTTAAACCACTAAATGCTGTTTTCCATTGTGCCCTTAGGTTTATTACTGCTGATGGTTGTACAACTCACCATTGTGTTTTGTATCAGAAAGTGGGTTGGGCCTCTTTGTATGTAAGGAGAGAGCAGCATTTTATTGTGTTTATCTACAAAGCACTCAAGCAGAAACGTCCTACGTATCTATCATCATTAATTAAATGTAGACTTATAAATTACCAAACCCAGTCTCAGGCTTGGATAACACTGGAGGCCCCTTCGGTCTCCACGGAGTTGGGTAAAGCTGCTTTTAGTTTTTTTGCGCCATTTATGTGGAACAACTTACAGAGCTCTCTGAAATTAGATGATCCCCATTGGTCAGTTCAGAGTAATGATCAGAGACCTATATGTTGATAAATGTGTCTGTTTTTCTTTAAATGTTTGGTAATTTTGTATAATGTATGTGTTTGATGTATTTATGCAGGGCTCATCTGTAAAAGAGACCCTAGTCTCAGTACGACTTCCTTGTCAAAATAAACGTCAAATAAAAATAAAAATACCCTAGCCAAGCAGTAATACACTCTTAATCTAGTCTATGAGGACCCATTTGTTTGTCAACCTATGATTTCCCACCAACAAATGTAAAATGTATGGCGTAAATATTTCTCAGTGGCAGTGCAACTCCCTTATGGTTTTCCAATGTATTTAATGGCAGGAGTCACGTCATGTCAAGAACTAGCAGAGAGACCTGCATTACCCTCTGTAAGGACAGAAGACGATTCAATATTTAACAAATGGCATATTTACACAATGCTGTATCCATTAAGATAATTAAACAAGGCAGGACAGAAATGTCTTAGTTTAACAGTGATGGAATTGTTTATATTCTTATATTCAAATTCAAATTCATTTCAATTCAGAAAAAAGCCTCAGATACACAAATAGAACAGTCTCCCATGTAGTTATTTGCCTCGTTCTGTTTATCTGTTATAGTTGCCCTTAAGGCGATTTAGGAAATTATTTTAAAAAATGTCCCCATAATTTCTACAGCCAATTTGACTGAAAGCATATTTATAGAAATATTCATGGATGTTTCTTACTGAGGTAATCTGTGGTTGTTGCTTGGCACATAGCAACATACACAGCTGTTGGCGATGATAGTACAGCATTACCATTGTACACTTCTCTCTTCACTTACTTGGCAATGGGATTTACACTGGCCTCCACAACAGATAGGCATTTACAGCATTTAATGTTGTCTGGGAACTCTTGAATACCTAAAGATGGAATGGAATGGAAACATGTTTGTCATTCATAACCAATTAATAATAATAATAATATAATAATAATAATATGCCATTTAGCAGACGCTTTTATCCAAAGCGACTTACAGTCGTGCGTGCATACATTTAACACTCATGCCTCATCACATTGTACATCATGCTAATATTTAGAGTCACAGTATCAGTAGAGAGTAGCGATTTCGAATAGATCAGAGTAGAAACTTGCAGATATTCCAATGAACCTCACTCGCTTACCGTTTTTACTGATGTCTAACTCCCTCAGGTTTACAAGGCTGGCTATGGTGGTTGGCAGGTTTGACAGGTCATTGTCAGGTATGCTCAGCTTCCGGAGAGCCTGACAGTTAAATAGTTGCTTTGGAGAGAGGGAGGCAGAACAGAAGAAACACAAGTTATACTGATGTTATATCAGCTTCTTAGCCTGCTGAGCTGAAAGAGTGTAGACTTGGTGAGACTTCATGCATTGAGATTCAATGAGGCTGGTCTCTAATGATGCGGTGCTGTTGTTAAATGAGAAACGTCTCTTTCAACATTATGCAGGGTTTCCCATTGATCACTGTAAGAGCAGCCACTCTCAGTTGAGTAACCTTGTGGGACAACATTAGTCCTCCACAGCTCTATATAGAGGGGGGAGAGCCACATCAGTCCTCCTCAGAGAGAGGGAGGGAGAGAGCGAAAGAGGACGCATAGAGAGAAAGAGAGAGTGAGGTAACAGAGAGAGAAGGTGAAAGGGTGCTATGCAGAGCTATAGTGTGCTGTGCATCACATTATGCCACTTGATGTTTGAGATAACAGGTTACAAATTACCATCACAGTGTATCATGAATAATGAATAGATCAACTTTTACATTCAAAGCCAACCAATAATACAGTATCAACAAGCGTTTTCTCCTATATTTGACTGCAGTCCATTCCTTTTTCTATGAAAAGGAGAGAAAGGGAGACGTTCTAAGGGTCTGCATCCCAAACGGCACCCTATTCCTTATATAGTGCACTACTTTTGACCATGGCCCATAGGGCTCTGGTCAAAAGTACTGCACTACAAAGGGAAGAGGGTGCTATTTGAGATGCAGTCAGGGAGACATTACAGTCCAGTTGGAACATTACTATAACATGCCCATTATGAGAGGCCACTACTCTTTAAGAGCATTAAGAGCCAGAGGGGGAGTTGCTACAACAATGGAGACTGGAGAGTAGAGCCAGCGTTGTCCAGTCTTGCCCAGGGCATCACTCTGATATACATGAGCCACACTTACATAAAGGACCATACACTCTGGCTCTATCAATGCCTGGTTCTTACGCAACCCTGTGAGGAGCCACACTGGCCCTGAACTCACTTCACAAAGACCCTAACCTTACGTAGCAGGCGTAAAAAAACGCCTGAGCGGGGTCCCCACATCTGGTTGTCATGGGAAAAGGAAGCTAGGTTGAAGACACTGTTTCTGGGTTCTGCCGACTTAAAGCATCTAATTGGGAGTTTGTTGATGAACACACTACACTGTGAAATTTCATAAAATGTAGTTAAGTAATTCCACTGAACCACTCTGACGGATATCACAGTTAATTGCACTGTAAACATTCAGCCAATACAACTTAGTTGAATACTACGGTATTCAGCCAGGGGTTTCAATTTAAAACAAAGACACTATTGTCAAGATTGTAATAGATCTCCTTTGAAAGTCTTAACGAAAGCTACATTCACAGATTGTATTGTTTTCTATGTGAAGGTCAGACAAGAGTCAGCAAGTCCATTTGTGTTTCGCTCTCTGCTTCATAAGCAGCTCATTTACAGACAGGAAGGACATTACGCCACTGCTTGGTCTGTGGGGGTCTGGTTGGCTTGGCAACTCATTTAGCCAATCAACACTGAGCGCCACATGAAGAGAGAGAGTGCATAGAGCTGAGATAATGTTGCCATCGATCATTATGCCATGCTTTAGTAATGTAGGGGAAATTCAAGGGAATGGCTGTGTTGTCTGAACTATTTGGCTTTGTAGAGCCTATTTTCTACAGTTCACCCCTTACATCCTCCAGCCCCAGCCCCAGGCTCAACCCCAGCCCAAGCCTCAGCCCCAGCCCCAGTCTCGTTCCCAGCCCCAGCCCCAGTCCCAGTCTCGTCCCCAGCCTCAGCCCCAGCCCCAGCCTTGTCCCCAGCCCCAGCCTCAGCCCCAGCACCAGCCTCAGCCCCAGCCCCAGCAAAACCCACCTTGGGCAGCTCCTCGATCTGGTTGGCATCCAGGTAGAGCTCCTCCAGCGTGCGCTCGAAGCTGAAGATCTCCTTGGGCACCTGCTGCAGGCTGCAGTGGGAGTAGTCCAGCACTGAGATGACCTCCTCCTCACCCCGGAAGCACCGGCACGGCACCAGGCGCCCAATGATCTTCCTCTTAGTCGTCATCTCCAGACACTGCACTGTAGAGGGGGAGGAGGAGATGGAGGAGGAGAAGAGAGAGAGAAGAGAGAAAGAGAGGGAGAGAGAGAGAGAAGACTGTCAAAATAATGCATTTCAATCCCATATGACGCCAGGCTAGCGTGTCCTGAGTTATCGACAACATAAACTAGCCGAGTGTTCCTCTGACCCACTCTGCTTTAAATAATCCCCCCACTGCTTGGCCCTCGCCTCACCAGCCCCGTGATTAGGTCAGGACAGCACTGCAGAAGATGAAATGTAATTAGCCGCAGCCATGCTGAACCACGCTCGTCAACCAGGCTCTTAATTGTCTCCGACAAAGTTAAGTGCAATTAGCCAACCTGAGTCAAAGCCACTATTCACACTGTTACACAGCACAGCAATAGCATCATACCTCCCTGCCCAGTGTCACATCCTAATTATACTGAACAAAAATCTAAACGCAACACGTAACATGTTGGTCCCATGTTTCATGAGCTGAAATAAAATATCCCAGAAATGTTCCATACATAAAAAGCTTATTTCTATAAATGTTGTGCACAAATGTGTTTACATTCCTGTTAATGATCATTTCTTCTTTGCCAAGATAATCCATCCACCTGACAGGTGTGGCATATCACGAAGCTGATATAACAGCATGATCATTGCTGGGGACAATAAAAGGCTCCTCTAAAATGTGCAGTTTTGTCACACAACACAATGCCACAGATGTCTCAGGTTTTGAGGGAGCGTGCAATTGGCATGCTGACTGCAGGAATGTCCACCAGAGCTGTTGCCAGAGAATTTAATGTCAATTTCTCTACCATAAGCTGCCTCCAACGTTGTTTTAGAGAATTTGCCAGTACGTCCAACCGGCCTCACAACCGCAGACCAGATGTAACCACGCCAGCACAGGACCTCCACATCCGGCTTCTTCACCTGCGGGATCGTCTGAGACCAGCCACCCAGACAGCTGATGAAACTGAGGAGTGGCTCCCCAGTGGGTGGGCCTGGCTCCCAAGTGGGTGGGCCTATGCCCTCCCAGGCCCAACCATGGCTGCGCCCCGGCCCAGTCATGTGAAATCCATAGATTAGGGCCTAATTTATTTATTTCAATTGACTGATTTCCTTATATGAACTGTAACTCAATAAAATTGTTGAAATTGTTGCATGTTGCGTTTATATTTTTCTTCAGTATATTTTACATCAACTACCAAGGAGAAGTATAGTCATTTCAAACACATAAACATGTAATAATCTGCTCTGGACAACAACTCCTAAGCACTATTTCTTAGGGCAAAGGAGATTTACTGGGGAAAGTAAATGGTAGATATCAGGGCTCATAAAATGTACTATTAGCATACATTTTCCATCCGTCTTTTTTCACTACTGCAAAACTGTGCAAATGATGCCGCTTATCAATACTTACAAAGTATGTTAACAAGGTAGTAGAAGCTGAAATACCTCTGTAAGTGTAAGACCTCTAGTCCAAAGTGGTTAGTGTGCCTATCCACACTGTCTTTGATACATTGAATAATAGAAAGGAGACAAACACGGAGCCTACATCCTTCATATCATCCACCCAACATTGGACTTGCAATAAATAGACACTGATCTGGAATCAGAACGTGATTCATTAGTTGGTGCTCAGTCAGCAATAGAATAGTCTCTCACAAAGCCTCTCTGCACATCCCCACTGGGCTAACTAACAGTGGAACATGTTTGTGTGAAGACAAGGAACATGTTTGTGTGAAGACAATTTGCACTAAATAATTAGCAGCTCTGCACTCGAAATTATAGTCCTATTTCCATGTAAGGATGTGGTAAGATCTGAGTTGTATCTGAGTTTATAGTGTCTGCAAGGCCATATTCCTTTCTATTTGATTTAGATTTTTTTTACCCCCCTTTTTCTCCCCAATTTCGTGATTACGATCTTGTCTCATCGCTGCAACTCCCCAACATGCTCGGGAGAGGCGAAGGTCGAGTCATGCATCCTCCGAAACATGACCCACCAAGTCTCGCTTCTTAACACCTGCTCGCTTAACCCGGAAGCCAGCTGCACCAATGTGTCAGAGGAAACATCGTTCAACTGACGACCGAAGTCAGCCTGCAGGTGCCCAGCCCGCCACAAGGTGTCGCTAGAGCGCAATGAGCCAAGTAAAGCCCCCCCGGCCAAACCCTCCCCTAACCCCGATGACGCAGGGCCAATTGTGTGCCGCCCTATGGGACTCCCGGTCACGGGCAGTTGTAACACAGCCTGGGATCGAACCCCAGGCTGTAGTGACGCCGCAAAACTGCGATGCAGTGCTTTAGACCGCTGAGCCACTCGGGAAGCCATAACGAGGTCTTTTGAACAGAAGTCAATCATTCCCCCAATAAAATGAAAGTTCTAATAATAAAGCAGTGGTATAAAAGTGATTATAAACTGGGTGGTTCGAGCCATGAATGCTGATTGGCTGACAGCAGTGGTATATTAGACCATGTACCACTGGTATGACAAAACATTTGTTTTCACTGCTCTAATTACGTTGGTAACCAGTTTATAATAGCAATAAGGCACCTCGGGGGTTGTGATATATTGCGTCGTGCCTAAGAACAGCCATATACCACACCCCCTCGTGCCTTATTGCTTAAATGTAGCCTTGTGATAATTAAAACGTTCTTCTATTATACTGAACCCATCGTTCAGCCTCTGCTGATTAACTACAGTGGGGAGAACAAGTATTTGATACACTGCCGATTTTGCAGGTTTTCCTACTTACAAAGCATGTAGAGGTCTGTAATTTTTATCATAGGTACACTTCAACTGTGAGAGATGGACTCTAAAACAAAAATCCAGAAAATCACATTGTATGATTTTTAAGTAATTAATTTGCATTTTATTGCATGACATAAGTATTTGATCACCTACCAACCAGTAAGAATTCCGGCTCTCACAGACCTGTTAGTTTTTCTTTAAGAAGCCCTCCTGTTCTCCAACTCTGTATTAACTGCACCTGTTTGAACTCGTTACCTGTATAAAAGACACCTGTCCACACACTCAATCAAACAGACTCCAACCTCTCCACAATGGCCAAGACCAAAGAGCTGTGTAAGGACATCAGGGATAAAATTGTAGACCTGCACAAGGCTGGGATGGGCTACAGGACAATAGGCAAGCAGCTTGGTGAGAAGGCAACAACTGTTGCCGCAATTATTAGAAAATGGAAGAAGTTCAAGATGACGGTCAATCACCCTCGGTCTGGGGCTCCATGCAAGATCTCACCTCGTGGGGCATCAATGATCATGAGGAAGGTGAGGGATCAGCCCAGAACTACACGGCAGGACCTGGTCAATGACCTGAAGAGAGCTGGGACCACAGTCTCAAAGAAAACCATTAGTAAAACACTACGCCGTCATGGATTAAAATCCTGCAGCGCATGCAAGGTCCCCCTGCTCAAGCCAGCACATGTCCAGGCCCGTCTGAAGTTTGCCAATGACCATCTGGATGATCCAGAGGAGGAATGGGAGAAGGTTATGTGGTCTGAAGAGACAAAAATAGAGCTTTTTGGTCTAAACTCCACTGGCCGTGTTTGGAGGAAGAAGAAGGATGAGTACAACAACAAGAACACCATCCCAACCGTGAAGCATGGAGGTGGAAACATCATTCTTTGGGGATGCTTTTCTGCAAAGGGGACAGGACGACTGCACCGTCTTGAGGGGAGGATGGATGGGGCCATGTATCACGAGATCTTGGCCAATAGCCTCCTTCCCTCAGTAAGAGCATTGAAGATGGGTCGTGGCTGGGTCTTCCAGCATGACAACGACCCGAAACACACAGCCAGGGCAACTAAGGAGTGGCTCCGTAAGAAGCATCTCAAGGTCCTGGAGTGGCCTAGCAAGTCTCCAGACCTGAACCCAATAGAAAATCTTTGGAGGGAGCTGAAAGTCCGTATTGCCCAGCGATAGCCCCGAAACCTGAAGGATCTGGAGAAGGTCTGTATGGAGGAGTGGGCCAAAATCCCTGCTGCAGTGTGTGCAAACCTGGTCAAGACCTACAGGAAACGTATGATCTCTGTAATTGCAAACAAAGGTTTCTGCACCAAATATTAAGTTCTGCTTTTCTGATGTATCAAATACTTATGTCATGCAATAAAATGCAAATTAATTACTTAAAAATCATACAATGTGATTTTCTGGATTTTTGGATTTTTTAGATTCCGTCTCTCACAGTTGAAGTGTACCTATGATAAAAATTACAGACCTCTACATGCTTTGTAAGTAGGAAAACCTGCAAAATCGGCAGTGTATCAAATCCTTGTTCTCCCCACTGTATGTCCCATAGAAGTCTTAGCATCGCAAATGCTTGGAAATCAATGCCAAATTAACAAGATACTTGTTCATCCTTTTAGTTTTTCCTGTTTTAGTCTTTGTTAGTACCATATTAAACACCACTAAAAATACCAAGACATAAAGCTGTGATTGTCCCCAAACATTGGGCTGCTCTATGTCACTACAAGTAGCCTGTGAATTACACTGTCCCTGTACAAATCCATCATTCACTGTAAAGTCACTATACGTTTTTTGTCTCTGTTTATTTTGAAAGATGCAGTCACATCAGTTCTGGCAGTCAAACAAGGCTATTCATCATAGGCTAAAACCATATGATGAGATTTGGATTCCTACAGACGCAGCCGTAGCAGCAGCAGCTCTGTGAGGCGTACCGTGGGTTAGTGTACTGTGCTGTGTAGTGCATCCAGTATGTAGAGTTGGATGTAGAGATGTGGGGCCCAGCTAGCGTGGCTGCTGGCAGGAAGGACAGCTGGGCAGGTGGAGAGCAGGGGCAGCTGGGTACTGATCCACAGCCCCCACCAGCCTGTAGTGACTCCACAGCCAACCGCTGGTGGGTCCCAATGCTCATCTTTGTTTTTCACCCAAAAACACACACACAACAACAATGGCCATAGCACAGGCAGAACAACCTTCTTTCCAGAAGCCACATTTTCCATATATTGGTCTTTGTATTGTTCTGTTCTGAAATCCCATTGTAAAGGAGACAAACAACCCTGTTTTAATCGGAGTGCCTTGTAAAGAGCCTCTCTCCCATACTGTAGAGCAGAGCAAGGAGATAAATGACATTTCAGCTTGGGAGACATAAAGCCGGTATGGAGCCGTGCTCTCTGGGGGCAGGAGTATATCACACAAGGTCACAGTGAAATCCCTCTATCACACCCCCACTCCTACTTCCAGCAACACAGCAGCAGCTGCCAGTTCCCTCTCCTCTTCTCCTCAGTCCTCACACACACAGCAGCATCAGGGGTCACGCCCACAGAGAGGTGTCAGCAGCCAATCAAAATGCAGGGAAGAGGCTGTCTGAGCAGCAAAAAAATACCATTAGAAATACCCAGCAGCTTCGTGTGTGTCTCCTAATCAGTCCTTTGAGTGAGATCCCTGCTCTAATGACTGGTTGTATATCATAGAGCCAGAGGGCCTCACATAGAAGTATAATTCTGATTATATAGGGCCTCTTCACACAGATCAGACCTGCAGGACTCCAGTGCTAGGCTCAGCTGCCTGTGTGTGTGAGAATATTCCCAATGGGGCTAGAGAGAGAAAGAGAGCGAGAGAGAAGTGACAGAGAGTGGTGAAGGAGAAGACAGGCAACAGAGAGAAAGAAGAAACAGCATCAGCCAGATAAGATAAGGTCTGGCTCCTTTATCTCAACACCAGTAAATAAAAATGACTAACAAAGCCACAGCAAGATTTTACACACTTGATCCACAGCGCATGAAATGTATCTATTTGTTTTAGGCACCATTCATTGTAAGACTGTGGTTATCTTACATAGCAATCCTAAACAATTCAGAAATGTGATAACGAACTGACGCCAAGACTATGTTCTCTCTACAAACAACAATAAAGAAGTGTTCAAATTCATGACCAAGGTTAGCTGCATTACACAATCAATTAACCATATAACCCACTGAATCTAATTTTTCTGTAAGGTTAATTGCATAAAACTGAATCTATGGTCTCATCTACTCTTAGAGCAGGGTAAATGTAATGTAAATGTAAAGAGGTAAATGTAAAGAGGTTCCCCACCGCTCAATCAAGTCAAATCTAGTATTGGAGAATACAAAACAAAGTACAGTGAGGGAAAATCCCTGCTGATTTTGTAAGTTTGCCCACTGACAAAGACATGATCAGTCTATAATTTTAATGGTAGGTTTATTTGAACAGTGAGAGACAGAATAACAACAACAAAAATCCAGAAAAATGCTATAAATTGATTTGCATTTTAAAGAGGGAAATAAGTATTTGACCCCTCTGCAAAACATGACTTAGTACTTGGTGGCAAAACGTTTGTTGGCAATCACAGAGGTCAGACGCTTCTTGTAGTTGGCCACCAGGATTTTGTCCCACTCCTCTGTGCAGATCTTCTCCAAGTCATTAAGGTTTCGAGGCTGACGTTTGGCAACTCGAACCTTCAACTCCCTCCACAGATTTTCTATGGGATTAAGGTCTGGAGACTGGCTAGGCCACTCCAGGACCTTAATGTGCTTCTTCTTGAGCCACTCCTTTGTTGCCTTGGCCGTGTGTTTTGGGTCATTGTCATGCTGGAATACCCATCCACAACCCATTTTCCCTGGCCGAGGGAAGGAGGTTCTCACCCAAGATTTGATGGTACATGGCCCCGTCCATCGTCCCTTTGATGCAGTGAAGTTGTCCTGTCCCCTTAGCAGAAAAACACCCCCAAAGCATAATGTTTCCACCTCCATCTCCATGTTTGACGGTGGGGATGGTGTTCTTGGGGTCATAGGCGGCATTCCTCCTCCTCCAAACACGGCGAGTTGAGTTGATGCCAAAGAGCCGATTTTGGTCTCATCTGACCACAACACTTTCACCCAGTTCTCCTCTGAATCATTCAGATGTTCATTGGCAAACTTCAGACGGCCCTTTATATGTGCTTTCTTGAGCAGGGTGACCTTGCGGGCGCTGCAGGATTTCAGTCCTTCATGGCGTAGTGTGTTACCAATTGTTTTCTTGGTGACTATGGTCCCAGCTGCCTTGAGATCATTGACAAGATCCTCCCCTGTAGTTCCGGGCTGATTCCTCACCGTTCTCATGATCCTTGCAACTCCACGAGGTGAGATCTTGCATGGAGCCCCAGGCCGAGGGAGATTAACAGTTATTTTGTGTTTCTTCCATTTGCGAATAATCGCACCAACTGTTGTCACCTTCTCACCAAGCTGCTTGGCGATGGTCTTGTAGCCCATTCCAGCCTTCTGTAGGTCTACAATCTTGTCCTTGACATCCTTGGAGAGCTATTTGGTCTTGGCCATGGTGGAGAGTTTGGAATCTGATTGATTGATTGCTTCTGTGGACAGGTGTCTTTTATACAGGTAACAAGCTAAGATTAGGAGCACTCCCTTTAAGAGTGTGCTCCTAATCTCAGCTCGTTACCTGTTTAAAAGACACCTGGGAGCCAGAAATCTTTCTGATTGAGAGGGGGTCAAATACTTATTTCCCTCATTAAAATGCAAATCAATTTATAACATTTTTGACATGGGTTTTTCTGGATTTTTTTGTTGTTATTCTGTCTCTCGCTGTTCAAATAAACCTACCATTAAAATTATAGACTGATCATTTCTTTGTCAGTGGGCAAACATACAAAATCAGCAGGGGATCAAATACTTTTTTCCCTTACTGTAACATACGCATATGCTATGCTTGTAATGCAAAATGTATCACTTGTTGAATCGTATGCAGTTTATTAAGCTTCTATTTTGAATATCCTTTTGTATACAGTACAATGACTATTATTCTATTCTATCCAGTCTTGCCACGTGTCAGAGAGAAAAGGAAGCAGTAAAATAGAAGGACTTTGGTATGTTGTGTTAACATCAGTGAGTTCTGCTCAGGGTGCTATGGAAACTACATGACGCAGGAGCAGATTCTGCAGAGGTGAGGAGCGAGGACACCGGCTCAGCTCTATCTCTATCTCTCTCTATCAGCCATTCTATGGGAACATCCCTGCTGATTAGATTTAATTCACTAGGCGAGTCATTCCAAATGTCTCTAACGTGAGCCCTCACTCTGGAGTATAAAATATGTACTCTTTGTTGGCTTATCAAGAACACTGCTGAGAATATGCACATGAATGGAGATGTTGCCTGTAAAAGGAGTTTATATTTGGCTACAGATTTTAATAAACAGTCAGCTCTGTCTTATTTTTTTTAATGAAAGTTGTAATTTGTGTCTATATCAGTGGCTCCGGTGAGCTTCTCTCCCAGGAAATGTGGAACAGCAGAACACTTTACATACTCATAAAAAATGCAGGCGTATCCATCAGCTGAATTCCTCAGGGTCAGCTAGCAGCCAACGTGACACATGCAGTTCCTCACAATAGCTCCAATCCGTTACCAAGGTAACCATCTTTAAGGGGTCAATGTATTTTTACAGAGAATTGTATTTATTTATCTGACAGTCGATATTACACACGTTCAGGAACCAAGGAAAATAAGCATTGATTAAGATATCCAGAGAATGTTGCAACTGCACCATATAAACTATCTCCAATGTTTACAGCATATGATTGGTTTAGAGAAGAAGGCTAAAAATAATATATTTTTCCTCTGTGAACAACATGGTAATAAGGATGGATGCTGTGGTAGTGATTGAGAGCTATGCCTTCCTTGCCTGGCTGTAAATAATGGAAGATTACAGTGAACATGAAGGAAAATGGGCTTAAGGTAAATAAATCAAGCAATCTGTAAAAGGTAATTGTAGCACTGGGGCTTATGCACAGAGCCTGGGCAGAGCCTGGCCCACTGACAGAAAAACAGGCAGACAGACCGACAGACAGAGCCTGGGCAGAGCCTGGCCCACTAACAGAAAAACAGACAGACAGACAGACAGACAGACAGACAGACAGAGCCTGGGCTGAGCCTGGCCCACTGACAGAAAAACAGACAGACAGACAGACAGACAGACAGACAGAGCCTGGGCAGAGCCTGGGCAGAGCCTGGCCCACTGACAGAAAGAAAGAAAGAAAGAAAGACAGAGCCTATAGCCTGGGACACAGTGACTAGGCTACCAGTATTAAAACTATTAAAAAGCTCCATGCATCCTGTATATCTAATCATTACATATTCAATGATCTGTAACGTTTTATGTAAATATTCTGTCATAATGCCTACACAAGGTTGTCATAAACTTGCCTTAGAACGTGACATTTCATTTAATGACGTTCCATTTAATGACATTGCAAAGTTCGACCTAGCCAGTCTTGGAGGCAGGGGTGTTAAGGACACAGCTTAATGAGGGGAATGTCGCAGTTATATCAGACAGGTACTAATCAATAACAGGACATTGATTTAATCTTTTAGAGCAGTTGAACTCGTTTGACTGCTTGAGGAACAAGTGAAAAACACGAAAATGTCTACTTTTACAACCCATAATCCCTCTGTCACAATTTGTTAACAGCGTATAAAAGCAAGGTGTGTTGTTTGCCACCTACAATTCAGACATCAGTCAATTAACATGTACTGTTACGATTTTGTAGTGTCTAGCAGCTATGGGAATTTGCAACAGCTGGCTGAGCCCAAGTTGAAGTTTGACAACTTTGTGAATGGCTCCTTAGAATGGAAACACAAAGCAGAAGTCCCAAAGCAGTCAATGTGTCACGACAGTATGAACACGTATGCCTAGATACTTACAAATCTATCAAGAGGGAAGTTAGTACAAATATAGCCTGCCTAACTCTCATCCATCTCCCCTACTTCTTCTACTCACTCTCTTCCTGTGCCTGCTGCCCTGTCAGAGGAGATGCAGTTTATTTAACAGTGAGCAGCACATCCCTCTGACGCAGCATGGTCCTGTTTGAGACACTAGACTAGTCGTCTACCTCCCTTGCGCTGG